GGAAACTCGTGCTCAGCAGTCAATAGCCGACACAATGAGCAGTGAGGTATTCGACTGACATGAAGAATGAAGAGATGGGTAGCGACGTCGCAAAACCAAAAACTGTTTCAACGGCGCCAAATCCTCAAGCGCGACCCCCTAGGCCTTAATAATACTTGCAAAGCGACGCTGTTTGCTCGAGTCATGGCGGCGCTGAAGCGACACTATCGATCACACCTAAATGAACCACCCACCCCCGGCGCCGACCCCGGCCGCGGGCAAGCTGCATTCTGGCCGGGTGTTGGAGAACAAGGAAAGCAATCCACTTGGAAACACACGCAATCCGGGGGGCGGTAAAGTGGGTGGAGACGAGTTGACGAGCCCGTCGCAGCTGTCAAAGAGAATTGTCGAGTATCGCTCCATATTGTCCGTACGTATGGATATGCGGTTTGCGATTGTTTGCGGTTGTGAATGCGACTGCGACTGAGAGTCATTGCCCGGGAGGCTCGGGGATGCGTAGGCGAGCTGCTGAACATATCAAATGAAGGCATCGGGACGTCAATCGGCCCGCTAGGGTGGGACAAAATCGGCGAAAAGGTCTGGCTGCTTCGGTTAACCGACAACGCTGATTACCTTAGGTAAGACAGGGAAGCTGCTGTCAGCCACAGTTTAATGCCCAGCCACAATTGGCAACAACGACTTCATGCCAACATCCAGATGCAATGGCAGGACGCGACTGGGCAGCAGAGAAGTGTAGATGTCGAGGCTTCCCCTCAAGGGAAAGCCTCATGCTTGATCTGACCAGCAGGAATGATGCACTATTGGGGCCATGTTCATTAAGACAGGAGTAATCGGCATCTCGCGTCGTGGTAAGGTATGAAGCCGACGAAGACTTGTTGATCGGAGCGAGCTCTTGCTTAATTATACAATATACCTCTCTACTGCAGATAGGTGGGAGCTTGGCCGGAAGTTGTTTCTCAAATGCCAGTTGGAGTGTGACTTGCAATGGCAACGTTGAGAAAGAGTCATCGCCTATCTAGGCTCGGAGGTAAAGTAGAGGTCGGTCAAAGGGCAAGACGAACTCCATACTTACCCATTCAAGGCACTCTAGTTCGGTGTCACTTCCTCGGAACTCGAGGGACCGGTCACGTAGTTAGAGAGGAAGGCATGCTGCAGCGCACCTCAGCTTGCATACTTGCACGGGTAAAGGAGTGCTGGTACGTAGCACTGTACCTCAAGGTAGGAACACGGATGTTCCTACCTTGAGGTACTCTGTCCTGACATCATAAAGCGGGCTGCGAGGAGCAGGAGGAACCTCGCAGCCTGAGCGGCAGGCTCTTTTGGGCAGTTAGGCCGTCCGCATGGGCGGCCTCTGATGGCCATACATAAACCCCATCTCCCCCCCCCCTCCCCTCTCGTCTCCGTTTCCTTTTCTCCCCCAACCATCACACACCATCAACTTGGCACACCTTTTTTTTTCTTTCAATCTACCAACAGACACACAATCAACAACAGAACGACACAATGGAGAACCCTGACGCCCAGCCAAACATGCACCCGCCTACCCACGACTCTGATTGCGATATGCGCCGAGGCCCCTGGAGCGGCCGACTCGTCTCGCCTCCCGGGTCAGCCGGCAAACGAGACCGACCACGAGTCCGCTGACAGCTCTGAGCTCATGCACATCTGGCTCTGTCTCGATGGCTGGAAGGGGATTCAGGAGGTCTACTTGGCGTATCAGTAGCAGGGCCCTGTCGTGGGTGTCATAGCAATGTGTAAGTCGGCGTCTTTGTGGATTCTTCTGATGGCAAACTCGCACTGACTTGAATATGCAGAACCTGATAGATAGCTGTCTTCCCAGTTCTCGGTTTCGTTTATAGCTCCTGTATATTTAGTTAATAATTTCTATAATAATATATCTAGAGCTAAGAGAGAATAGAAACCTTATTTTATTCCTTGCCGCTAAGTCTTATATTATTTATTTATAATATTAAAGCTAGTACACGAAGAATTATATAACTTAGTTTAGTAACGTAGAAAAAGAGCTATTGCCTATCTAAGCTTAATAATAAAATAAAACTTGATTAAAAAATAAAACGAACTTTATGTTTACTTATTTAAAATATTCTAAATGCGTATTATTTTTTTATAATTTAAAAAACTAATTATATAATTAATAAAAAAAGTATATTATAATATAACGTATTTTAACTTATATATTTATATAAATAAAGGATTATTAGTACGTAGCTAAATACCTCAAGGTAAGAACATCCGTCTTTCTACCTCGAGGTATTCTCTCCTGATGTCACAAAGCGGGCTGCGAGGAGCAGGAGCTGGCCATACATAAATCCCATCTGCAACAGACAAGCAACAAACCAACGAGACAATGGAGAACTCGAACAACGATTCAAACATGATCCCGCCAACACACGACCCTGATGGCGCTATCCGTGTTCTGATCAATGACCTGGCTAAGGCGTTTGCCCATCACACGACCCACTTATAGCTCCTGCATAAGGTATTTAGTTGATAATTTCCGCGACGATATATCCGGAGCCCAGAGAGAATAGAAACCTTGTCTTATACCTTGCCGCTGAGTCTTGTGTTATTCATCCATGATGTTGAAGCTGGTGCACGGGGAATCCACGCTGGCGTTGTAGAGCTCCTTCTGATGGGGAGTGTTTCGCAAGAGAAGGTGGGAGATGGCAATATACACTCTCTGTCAGTGTGACAACTTCTGATGCTGATATACGCCAGAGGCCAAGGAGTATCTTCGGCGAGGGTGTTGGATCCTGACGAGAAGGCCGGGTTCCTGATCGATTGGCCTTGCTTTTGATGTAACACAAATTTTCTGGTCAATGTCACGCCAAAGCCTGTCTGCCTTGTGATGTTTCTGACGTTGCTGCTCACTTGGCGTATCATTGACGATATATGAACAAATGTTGTGAGACGACGAGATTGGGTTCTTGGCTTTACAGGCGCAAAAGATCGACCTTGACGGGTCGACCGCGGAGGTTCGCCCGCGAACGTTGAAGGTAGCCTTCCTTGACTGTAGACGCTTTGAGTTGTGGGACGATGTATTGTCAAGTTTGGCTGGAAAGGGTGCCTGGTACAGTTTCTATCCATGCCGATACACGCATTTATTTGCGCCATTATTTGCGCAAAGCTGTCATGGTGAAATGGAATGATACCCATTGGGCAAGAGGTGCAGGTGTCAAATTGATACATCATATAAGTGACCCTCAATACTCTAGGTAGCTGTCTAGTATCTGTCCGTTTCTCGGTCCTTCCTGTGCTCATCGTATCGTATCATCATGGCATTACTTGTGTGGTTTTCCATCGCATCTGTCCTCCTCTTCACCACGGGCCTGGCAGCCCCCCCAATCAGAATTCCTTATACGGGTATTGTCTACAATGTCATTTGTCCAAAAGTCGATAATATGAAAGAAATCTTGGCAAGACGTTGGCAGGTTGATCTTTCTGTGGGGGGTTGGTGACAGTAAGTGCGCTGGGCTCACTCCAGTCCAGTCTGCGATGCTTACATGGTCCCAGCAATCAGCGTCAGTCAGATGTATTCGATTGGAACCTCATGGACCAAAGGCTCCACTCTTGAAATCAAGGCTGGTGAACTCATCACTATGGGCAGTATCTGGAGTGTTTCGGAGACCGTCACGTACTCATTTGCGTAAGGTGTCAGCGGCAACTGTGGTGAGCCGGGGGCACGGCCGGGGCCGAAGCGTTGGCGGTGCAGCATGCTGATCATCCCGAGCATCCTCCGTGTCACTGGCCACCTGGACAGGATGAGCCGCGGCAAGAAATGTCCCTTAGGCAGAATTGCAGGCAGAATTGGCAATGTTATGTAGTTTGCACATGCAAAAACCTCAAGCATTGGGCTGACGAGGGACATATCGCCACATTGTGTCCCAAGCCCTGCACGCGCCCTGCACGCGCCCTAAGGGATGAAGACAACTGTGGTGTATGGCCCGTGTATAAGCTTGTCTTGACTGGATGTTGACCTCTCTCAACCTTGGGGAGAACGAAACTCTTGAATCAAACCATGATTTGGGAGCCGACTCTATGTGATCTTCTAGGGTACCTGGCTGTCGTTGAATTTGGAAAGCATTAAATGATGCGGGCATTTGTCGCGCCCCGCACGGCACGCCCATACGACGCTAACCTCACCACACCTTACCTCACATCTGACGACTACAAACCCGGATTGTATCGCGGGACTTTCTCTCAATCATCCAAGAAAAAGTTTCACCACAGCGTTCTTCAACTTTTTTCGTTCCACATCCCGGCATCTCGGTCATCTGCCGGCCGATTTTCCGACCACCTCAGCCTCAACATCTGCCAGGCAGCCAGAGACGGCCGCAGCACAATGTTGGTCCGCGATATGACGGCATCCGAGGCCAATCAAGAGGCCGTTGGGCTGACTTCTCCCTCGCATACCATTTACCTTTGATGATTGTCTTGGAACCCCAGACCGTACCGTCTTCCCATTCGCCGTAGGAGCAGCCGCATACTTTGGCGTTGACGGCCTCCCGCTTCTTCGCTGCAGGGTGCCCACAACACCATTACCATTCTCCTATCAACACGCGATGCAAAGCCCGTCCAACGACGACTCGTAAGCCCTGCGGCGGAGAAGAAACCACGAGAGCCCCGAAATCATACGTCCAACATGACCAATGAATTTTCTACCCTTTGTTTGTTTGGTTGGTGCCTGGGCCCTTATCCAGAGAGGCTTCTTGAAGCTGCTGCATGGACCTTCCTCTTGCTGGAAATGCCACACATGGTCTTGTCCGGTAGATGAATGAGCCCAGGCAGAACCTGGCTGATCCATGTCCTAAAGTCAATCCCTCATAAGAACGAAGCTTCTCTCGCAACCGATCATGCCATCTCTGCTGGCCTGTCTTTCTGGATCACTGCAGCCTGTAGACACTTTGGAGCGAATGCTTGACACCAATCATCAACAATCGACAATAACCTCTTTACCAAGCGCCCGAAGATGTGGAAAAATGGCGGGTGAGTCATGGCAACCGCCTCGGTCTATAATCCGTCATCTCGAAGCTAACATCTATCGTGTGCTAGAAAACGCCCCGGAGCGACTTCGTCTACAAACGGTCCATGCCAATATTACCTGAGGACTGGAACCTGTGGCTATGGCTCAAGGTGCAAATTCTCTCACGATATAGGCAACAAGCCTGACCGTCAACAGCAAGGTCAATGGCGAATTCGCAATGCGTCACCCGACGACCCACCAGTGAATACCAGACGAATCGATGGCCGAACCGCCAATGCCCCAAGCCGAGCGCGTAACCCGGAGCGTGAGCGGTTATTCCAGTGGAAAAGACTTCGACCTCAGCCGAGACAGGTGTCGCTGCTCTGGGACGATACTACTTCGAACTTCTTCCAAACCGCTATCAGTCTGGTGGAGCAAAATGCGGGCCTGGCGCAAGAGGTCGTCAAGGAGATGGCCGATGACGGTCGGCTGCCGCTTATCAGAGATGTCATTGAGGGAGCTGCTTCAGCTAGAACGCCCGAGGACGAAGTTCTTCTCTGGGAATCGCGTATTTCGCCCCTGCTCCGAGTCTTGCTCCACCCGACTGTTGTAGACTCTGTGGTCCTTGAACAGGAAACGGCCGTGCTCTATCGATTGCTCTTGGGAGTCGACGCCACGCGCCTAAAGACTCTCTTCAACTTTATCTTCGATGTCGTTGATCACTGGGCCGAGTTGCCTTTCGAAAACACCGGTGTTTCTGGCATGGAAGCCCTTGCTCTATCCTGCGGCGTATTGGCTAAAGTCATCAACACCAGCACCTCAAACATTGTCAATGCCCTCTTTCATCCCATTGTCGAAGGAATCAAGCTGCGATTGGATGTTTTTGGCAATAAGGATAGCGACTTCCATACCTTGCAAGCAATAAGACATCTCGACTATGTTTGCCGTCGCCTGGGTATCGGCCAAAGTCTGGTTGACGCTGTCCATGTCTCGGCTTCTTCTGGTGCCATGGCCGAGTTCACTCTCAGCCAGGACTTGCCTGGAAAACTCTCCAAACGCCGTGAGCGCCACGACAATGACCACCAGGATATTTCGGATATCAGGCTCATGCCTACCCACCAGGAAATCATGTCTTCTCGAGATGAATATTTGCCGGTCGCCAACCCCGCACAACACCACTTGCAAGGCCTGCGAGGTTTGCTGGATCGGCATTTCCGCCTTTTGCGCGAGGACACACTCCATGATTTACGAACCGCCATTCGCACCACCGTAGAGTCGAACGTCAAGTTGCGAGATGTTAGAACACGAGTTGTGGCCTACGACAACGCCTTTGCCGTTGACATGACCTTTGACAGATGGTCAGGTCTTGAATTCATTATCCAGATTGACCAACCCCGACCCACAAGCGGTTTAGACAAATTGCAACGCGGCACTTGGTGGGCAGGAAAGAGACTCATGGACGGGGCTCTTGTTTGCATTGTTGATGATTCCGGCGGTGTTTTCTTCTTTCAGGTCTCGAGGTCGACCATCAGAACTCCCAAAGACGAGAACCAGCATGGTCAAGGAGACGACCAAGAGAAAGACAAGAACGAGGTACCGCGCTACAGTCTTCTCGACGATACAAACCACGCCTACGTATATCTCCATCTAGTCGACACAAGTATCGACGAGACCAAGAGATCTCTAAGGTGGTTCAAGACCATGCGGGTCGTCCGCCAGCATCGTCGTCTTCTTGAATTCCCGTCAATCCTGCTGCCTTCTTTCGCCCCCCCATTAAAGGCATTGCAAAACATGTCAAGGACTCTAGACCTTCCATTCCAGGACCTCCTAACATTTCGTGCTGGGAGTCGACCAGCGGACATTCCCCCTCCACTCTATTCCAAGCGACCTGGTTTCTCATTCGATCTGAGCTGCCTGTCGAATGATGGCAGAAAACTCACATACACTCCCGGCGATGCAATCAATCCATCGCGTCTAAGCAGGCACTCCAGCCTTGATAAGACTCAATCCGAGGCTATTCTAAATTCACTGAGAAGGTCCTTCGCCCTGATTCAAGGTCCTCCGGGTACAGGGAAGAGTTATACCGGCGAAGCGCTCATCAAAGTTTTGCTTGCCAACAAATCGAAGGTAAAGTTGGGGCCCATCATGTGCGTTTGCTACACCAACCATGCTTTGGACCAGTTGTTGGAGCATCTTTTGGATGGTGGGGTTCAGAATATAATTCGCATTGGCTCCCGATCCAAATCCGACAGGCTGGCTCCTGTGAATTTGAGAGCAGTGGCCCGAGATATGACCCGTACGGCTGCCGAAGGTCATGCTCTTTACAAATCTGTCGAGACTTTGGACGGCAACACAGATGAGATTCGCGATATGCTTTCGAATTTCATCTTCAGTAGAGACAACGAAAAGATTCGTCTTCACCTTGCCGAACAACATCCCGCCCAATACGAAGAGCTGATGGGGCCAGACTTGCCGGACTCTGATGAAGAAGGAGAGGGATGGCACAAGGTATCCTACTCACGCGGGAATGTATTCAAGAAGTGGCTCGCTGGCGGCTTGTCAACCAATATAACGCGTCCACTTCGGCGCTTGCGCCACTTGAAGCTATCCGACCTCTACCATCAGGAACGTATCCTCCTCTACCAAGAATGGCTTGAAGAAGTGCTGAGAGGAGAGATCGATTCGCTGTCGAACTTGCACAAGGTTTACCAGGGACACAAAGACAACAACAGCAAAATCAGAAGCTCCATTGATCTGCGTTGTCTTCAAGAAGCGAACATCATTGGTGTTACAACCACTGGCCTCGCCACTAATCTTGACCTGCTTCGACGAGTGCACGGCAAGGTTCTTGTGTGCGAAGAAGCGGGCGAAGTTCTAGAAGCCCACCTTTTGACCGCGCTGTTGCCGACTATCGAGCACGCCATACTGATCGGGGACCATCTCCAGCTACGTCCTCAGATACAAGACTGGAGACTCCAACGGGCAAACCCGGCTGGCGTCAATTACTCCCTGGATGTGTCACTTTTTGAGAGACTTGTTCAACCACCTCCCAACGTCTCGAGTATCCCGTTCAGTGTCCTCGATACGCAACGTCGGATGCATCCATCAATTGCGGAACTAGTACGATCAACACTGTATCCATCTTTGTCAGACTCTGAAAATGTGCAAGATTACCCCGAGATCCCCGGCATGGCTCGGAGGCTCTTCTGGCTTCACCACGAAAGCCCGGAATCGGGAGGAAAGTCTGACAAAGACTCTGTTGAGACGTCATACTCCAACGATTTCGAGATTGAGTTTGTCTCGGCGCTTGTATCCCATTTGCTAAGGCAGGGCGTATACAAATCCGGGGAAATTGCTGTCCTGACGCCTTATTTGGGACAACTTAACAAGCTGCGACAAAAGCTTAGCTCCATCATGCAAATCGTCATCAACGACCGAGATATGGATGATCTCGCTGAGATGGAATCTGCTTCAACCTCTCGACATGGAAGCTCCACAAACGTGAAGCAAGCAGCAAAAACAAATGCTCTAAGTGGCGTTCGAGCCGCAACGGTCGACAACTTTCAAGGCGAGGAGGCCAACGTTGTCATAATTTCACTTGTCCGCAGCAATAACGATAACAGGTGTGGATTCCTCAGCACATCCAACCGCATCAATGTTCTGCTATCTCGGGCTAAACACGGGATGTACATCATCGGTAATTCAAATACCTCGAGCCATGTCCCGATGTGGGCGCAAGTCACGGAAATCCTTCAGAATGGCAACAACTTCGGCAACAGGTTGGAACTACAATGTCCGCGACACCCTCAGAATAAGAGCTTCGTGTTACAGCCGGAGGACTTCCTTCAATTTTCTCCGGATGGTGGGTGCAAACTCCGGTGTGACCGTCGGCTAGCGTGCGGTCACGCCTGTACTGGCCCTTGCCACTCCGATCACCTTCACAACGCCATCAAATGTCTCGAGGACTGTGTCAGGCCAAAGGAAAACTGCGATCACCCATGCCGCCGACGCTGTGGAGAGCCTTGCGACAAGCTGTGCACAGAAGTGCTGCGCGACGTTGGCCTGAAGCTCCCCTGCGGTCACATTCTTGACACGGTCGCTTGCTGGAAAGCTAAAGACCCATCTGTAATCAAGTGTGTCGTCCAAGTCGACAAAGTGGTGCCGGGATGCACTCACACAGTCAAGGCGTCCTGCCACGTGGACGTTACCAGGGATATTTATCTTTGCAGGACCGAGTGTGGCTTCCAGCGGCCTTGCGGACACACATGTAAGTCGCCATGCTCGGCATGTCGCACCAGAAAGAATGGTGAGGTGGCGGAGGAGGATCACAAAGCTTGTCGGCAGACTTGTGGCAGATCTTACACATCCTGCAGCCACTCATGTCGAGAAGCTTGCCATGGAGATGAGGCTTGCCCTCCGTGTTCATCTCCATGCCAGAACCAATGCGTGCATTCAAAGTGCGGCAAGAAATGCCACGAGCCTTGCCCGCCATGCGCAGAGGAAACGTGCCCATCCTCATGTCCGCACTCAAAATGCACTATGCCGTGAGTGAACGTCGCGTTGTGATTATGGAACATTTGAATGTTTGCTGACTTGCGATGATAGATGCGCCGCTCCTTGCGATTGGATCCCCTGCACCAAGAGGTGTGCAGAGGTATTGAAGTGCGGACATCAATGTGAGTTATTTTCTACTGGGCAACTGAGGACGTATTAACAGTGAAAAGGTCCTTCTGTCTGCGGAGAACGTTGTCCGGACGGGAAGTATTGCCAGACGTGCGCCGCAGATGATATAAAGAACAGGGTGGTCGATCTCATTCTCATGGACGACTACGGCTCAGTGGACCTGGACGAGGAGCCCTGCATCTTCCCAGACTGCGGCCACTTTTTCACCTACACAACCATGGACGGACAGATGGGGCTTCGGGACCTTTACGAGGTCTCGCCTGAAGGAGTGCCCACAGCCGTCAAGTCGGGATCCCACCCATTCTCAGTGACGAGCATCAAGGTGTGCCCCGACTGCCGAGGATCTCTCAGAAATATCTCTAGGTATGGGAGAATTGTTCGACGCGGTCTTCTTGATGAGTCGACGAGGAAGTTCATCAGCTGGGCCCACTGCGTCAAGCAAAAGTTGACAGACGCGTTCTTCGCTGCACAAGACAACCTGCAGAAGATGGAGAAGAGTAAATTCAGCTTCCCTAAAACACAGTCAGGGTTTCCTACAGCACAATCGAGATTTGCTCTTGGGGGATCTCGGCAGCAACAAATGACCCAACTCTTCAAGCTCACGGGAGAAACCCGGCACACGGTATTAAAGAGGCTCCGGAATCAGATCACCAATTTTCTCGGGTCAGTCAGGAAAGAGGAGCAGCCGTACCAGCGTGTGGCACACCTCGTCTGGCACGTCAACAAGCGGCGGCAAACCAGCGACTACTTGTTTGACGAGTCAGCAATTCAAATGGGCGGATACTTGGATGCCATGACGCTCTCGCTACGGTGTGATCTCCTCCTGGTCTCTGACTACATCAGTCTGTGCCGTAAAACGACCGACAACGACAACGATGGTGCCAAATCTGCCAGCATTGATCCCGTGCCATACATTGATGACTGTAAGCGACTGATTGAGACTGCGCGAGTGAGAAATTATTCCCGGCTGGAAGTCGAAGGCCGCATCTTTCTCGCCATGTTCTGTTACTTTGCACCGCCTGACGATACTAGGCCGACGGATGGCGCGCCGGAGGCACCCAAAGCAGAAAGCTCCTCTGCGAAAGCAAGCATGATCAAGCTCGGCGAGGACCACCTCCTAGAAGCAGAGAAAATCATCAAAGCAAATCCGTCCGCAGCTAAGCTAGCGTCCGAAGTCGAGACAGCGAGGCGCATGCTCCACGACGGAGTCTTCTATAGCGAAGTCTCCACCGACGAAATGCGAGCCGTCTACGCGGCCATGAGCAAGGAGTTCTTGGGAACAGGACACTGGTACACATGCCGCAACGGGCATCCCTTCACCATTGGCGAATGCGGCATGGCGATGCAGCAGACGGTGTGTCCAGAGTGCAACGCTCCGGTCGGCGGCCGGAATCACTCTTCGGCCGAAGGTGTCAGACATGCGGCAGAAATTGATGCACTTGCGCGCGGCATCGGAAGAATGGGATTTTGAAGTAGAGTAGATTAAAGAAAAAAAAAATGACCTGTTTCTAGGCTTTTCACTTACTGATTATCTTGCTCAATGGACATCCATAATGTTGGTCCATCGCACTGTAGACTGGACACTGGTGATCTCACTGGTTGTCTGTCAGCCCACATTTTGGCTTCCGGAACTGTTGTGCATTCTCAATCCTCCTCTTCTTTGAATACAAATTCAATCGTTGCCGTACGTACCTGTCAGTGCAGCCTCAAAAGGTTCTTGGACTTTGCCGTATTTGAGAACCTGTGGTGACGTCGCCCCGTCGTGTTGCACATCACCAGTCAATGACCACCATTCCTAGTTCACGCGTTGTAGCATGCTGGCAGACTTCACGGAATACTTGTCAATGTAAGAAAGCGAGATGAGACTGGAACAATATTTTCAGACCTCCAAAAATCATTCATGTAGAATACTAGCAATAGCATACATAGGTGTAGGTGGTCCTTTCTCCCATGGTCATTTCAGCACACATCCCGGCTCACAATGAGCCGCCCAAGAAATTCGGATCAAATCGTGTAGCAACACAACAGTTCTCAATCCACCATCATTGCAATCATTCTTGTAATCATCATGTGTTCCTGTGCACTCAACCCCGGTTGATTCTGGATGAAGACAAAACCCTCAGGCCGGAGCTGGTCCAGTAGAAGAAGGGACCTGCGTGGAGCTGGATATTCTCTGGCTGAAACTGCTGTCGGCAACTAGCGATCGCGCAATCATTCTTGCTCCAGCCGACGCGGATGTCATCAGACCACCAAACCTGAGGCTTGCCATCGACTTGCAGATTGATGAGGATGGAGCTGAGGTCGGTGAAATCGACAGCTGAGAAAGGCGTAAGTGGGCAGCCGGAAGACTGGTTGCAAGCGTTGACCCAAGCTTTCTGGCTGACGGCTTCTTTCTCGGTGGCGTTGGTTGCATCCCATCTGTATCCAGTGAAAGTGAAGACACATAGCTGGTTAGGAACCGCAGAGTCGGAGTGGCAACCCAAGTTCATGCCGAAGAAGTCGAATTGGAAGCAAGGAGAAGACGCCAGCTTTCCCATGCCGATCTGCGCAGTGTCACCGGAGACGTCATCTGAAGATGTGTTTGACAGAACTGGGGGCACAAACTCCACGAGACGACCGCCAGAGGAGGGCAGGAAGGGCATCAGCGGAGGAGGACCAACAAGGAAGCCCTTGGAGAACCAAAACCGATGGTAAGGGTTGAAGAGCGGACCAGACGAGACGTCATCAAACTGTTTGCAAAGAATCAGAAAGTGAAGGGGGTTATGAGACAGCAGTAGCAGAACAACTTACATCGAGGACTTGGTTGCCAACCTGTGTGGTGCCGGTGCAGATGGGTGTCGCAACAGGCGTCAGAGTGGGTGTGCTGGATGTTGCAGTTGTGTTGACGTAACGCCTCTGAACCCCGCCAGGCTGAACAAGAGAGGTAAACACTCCCGTGGTGAAAACCTGGACAACAGAGCTCTGGACGACGACACTCTGCCAAGTAGAAACAGAGGGAGTGACGACAGGAGAGACGGTGACAGCAGGGGCTTCGGCCGTGGATGCGGTTACGGCAGGGCCACCGACCGTAGAGACACCAGCAATGGTAGAGACTCCGAGAATGGTGGAAACGCCAATGATGGTAGATACAACTGCAGAACCAGCAGCACCGCCAGTGACAACGCCACCAGTCACAGCGCCGCCCGTGACAGCTACATCTGAGACAGATGCGACAATTGTGTCGACCTTTGTGACTAGAGACTCAAAAGGGAACGTGTACGTGGTAGTCTCATCGGCGACGACGTTGATGAAACTGGTTGTGAGCACAGTCGTGGACGTGGTGGACTCGGAGCTGGTGCATGAAGTCGAGGTTGCAGCGCCAGGAAGAGCATTGTCAACCGTCGATGATGCAGGCCAGAGAGTGATGACAGTAGGCGAGTTTTGAGAGCCGCCAGCAACAGTTGCAGGGTCGACAGGGACAGAGTAGCTACCAATGGCTGAAGTTGGCACGCCAGCAACAGTTGTGGGGACGCCTCCATCAGGAGCTCCTTGAGCAATAGTGACAGTGATCTGAGGTCCAGGCAAACCGCCGAAGGGGGGGACGCCGGTCTGAGCCGGATCAGTGTAGCCGCCCGGAAGGCCATTCGTATTTGTCGGGTAAGCACCTCCTGCCGGAATTGTGAGTGTAATGGAAATTCCACCACCCGGGAGGCCATTCGTATCCGTAGGGGAGACACCGCCTGCGGGGATAGTAAGCGTAATGGGAACACCACCACCAGGAAGACCGTTGGTGTCCGTAGGGCCAACACCACCTGCGGGAACTGTGATTATGACCGGAATGCCGGGAGCACCAGAGCCAGGAGTACCTGAGCCAGGAGTGCCTGAGCCAGGAGTGCCAGAGCCAGGAGTGCCAGTCAAAGGACTTCCAGATGCACCAGGGAGTACAGGGTCACCGTAGCCGCCAGGGATTGTAGGAGGAGTGGTATCTCCGGGGGTTGTAGGAGGCGTCGGCAACGTCAGAACAATCGTAGCAGTGGACACTGAGATAGAGCTGGGGCCAGCAGAACCATCGTCTCCTGGGATGCTTGGAAGAATCGTGGTGTAAGTCGAGGCACCACCTGCAGGAGACTGAGGAACTGTCAAGGTGAAAACGACAACGTTGCCCGGGTCAGAAGGATCAGTAGGTTGGTTGCCATTGCCAATGCTTGGCTGAGAAGCGTACAGAGTTGTGGTAACAACAGTTGGAGGTACTCCGGCTGAACCGCCTGCGGGATCGGCAGGGACAACCACGGTGGTGGCGCCAGCAGGGCTAGCAGGAACATAGACAGTTGTGACACCTGAGCCCCCTGTGTAGGGAGAGCTGGGAGTGAGAACTGTGAAAGTCGACACAACGGTTTGGATGGAGTAGCTCAAGGAACCATCTGGACCAGGAACCATGGTGGGAATGTAGCGAGTCGTGGTGCCAACAGAGCCGCCGCTGCCAGGGCTTCCCGGAGCGGGAGTCGAAGCTGCAGGGACTCCAGGGACTGGTCCAGTACCGGTTGCGGAAGGGAAAGTGACAGTGAAGCAGGTGACAAGTGTGTCGACAACAGGCGTTCCTTGACCAGAGTCAGGACGAGTCCGGTAGAGAGTGGTGGTAAAATCAGTGACAGAACCCCCATTGCCGTTGTCGGGGCCAGAGGGAGCATTGGTGACGGCAGGCCCAGTGGCAGCCGGTGCAGTCAAAGTGTAAGTGAACAGCTCGCCATACGCAGGATCGACAGCACCGTCGGTTGCAGCAGAGCCAGGAAAAGACCCAGTAGCAGCAGGCTGTGGGAATGTGACTGTGAAGGTTGCAACAACGGAGTCCACGGCGGGTGTAGCTTGACCTGGATTTGTGTCTGTCCTGTACAGCGTCGTGGTGATCACTGTGACACCCGCAGTGTTGCTGCCAGAGCCATTGGGGTCACCAGTGGCAAACGGGCAGTCGGTGGTGACAGACTGGGAAGGGTTCCATGGGAAGCCAGGAGGGCCAGGAAGCGTAACAGTTGTCGTCCCTTGACCACCAGAGGCCGAGTTACCAGAGGATACGGGAGAACCAGGGGAACCACCATTGGGGTCGCCAGAACCAGGAGAGTAGACAGTGGCAGTGACAACAGTGACAGGAGCGCCTGTAGCAGGGGAAGACTCCCAAGGCTTGGGGCCGGTGAACTGAGATCCTCCAGGAGGGGGATCGTAGCTGTCGATGGTGACAGTGAGAGTGGCCGGAAGACCGGGGGAACCAGACTGGGCAGGAGACCAAGGGGAAGGGGCAGAGAACGGAACGGTTGCAGTGACAGTCTGAACGACGATCGAGGGACCAGGGTCGTTGTTGGAGTCAACCGTGATGAAGACCGTGGTGGTCGCCGCCGCGGGACAGGTTGGCTGGGCATAAGTTCCAGCACTGAGATGGATTGTCAGCTTCAAATTCGACTGAGAATGGAGAGAAAGAAAAGACTCACACCATGGCCGTCATGGCAAAGAGGGAAGCCCGCATCTTGGGCAATCAGAGGTGCCGGATCTAGGTGTAGGAAGCACACGTAGAATACGTAGGATACGCTGATCGGATTGAATACGCAAAGAACGACGCGAACAAGACAGATGATGACAACGCAGGAGGAAAAGGAACGGGTCGAAAGAGATGAGAGAGAGAGGATGAAGAGGAGAAGGAGAAGAGAGCAGAGATGGGGGGTTCTCTGGGGATTAAGTAGGATAGGGAAGAACTGGAGAGAATTCTGTTGAGCTGGGTCGTGGGAAGGAAGTCATCGTCCTCTCCTTCCTCTCATGAAGGTCCTGGAACCAGCTGTGGGCGATGACGCAACCAAACGTACGATGTACTTTTCAACACAGGAAGGAAGGTGTCGGTAGCATCGTGAAGAGCAAGACCCGTCATGCTTCATTGAGCAGGCCCGGTGCCCATGCAGTCAACATCAAGACCTGTTCCTAAGCCAACCTCTTCCTGTCCTTTTGTATATTTGAAAGGTTATGCGGAGCGGTTCAACCCAACGTAGGTTCCCAAGGACCTTAGTTGTCACTTTGAGATGCAGACGTATAAGTGCTCCAAGTTCCAAGGCACGGGGCTGGCTCTTTCCTGATGTTCTTTCCCGGACCCAGGCATTGTACCTTGAATCCAGTACGTACTTCCTCACGCATGTGACATGTTGCCATGAGTTTCTAGAAGACAGAAAAGAAGGAGGCTAAATAGGTAGGAGGCAGGAGCAGGAGGGCGTTAGATTGCCTCCCTCCGCTTGAGATAAGGTACCTTACGGTACAGCAACTTGGGCATGAGAGCACCTTCCACGCCAGGCCATGAGACGGGAAATAAGATATGGGTGGCAGATGATCACGCCATCAATTCATGGCAAGCTGGGGCCAAGGGAAGGCACCTTGGATGCGAAATGAAAGTGGAAAGGGCACAAGAAGCTACCTTACTCCCCAAGGCATAAGGAAAGAGTGCACGAGTTGGTAATGGAGCTCATGTTCGGCGTGATGGGGGCATGCAGGAACGATAGTGGATCTGAGGAGTTAATCAGTGGAGTTATTCAATTGCCTGCCTGCCTGCTTGCTTGCTTGCTTGCTCGATTGATCCCAAAACATATTCTGGTCCTCAAAATCCTTCTAACCATGCTCCTAGACTGGGTCATCCTCGTAGGGGGGCGGGGGCGGCAGAGGCTCTCCGATGAGAGCGTCCACAGTTCTCTTCTTCTTCTCATCTTCAATTCGTGCCGCCCAGAGCCCGGCCCCAGCCGAAGTAGTCAACAAAAAGAAGAAAGACAACACCGGAATCAGCTCCAGAATCATCGCAACCGTGCCAAACCATACATATTCCCACGTCCTCGCCCGAATTTCGTTCTTGGCTTCTTTCTTGCTCAACCCTCGCAAGTGAAACCATCTGTAGTGCGCCAGCTTGCCCAGTCTCGTGCCCGTGATGATGATGAAGGCAGGGGTCCCAACGACCGGGACAAAGTTGAGAGGTAAGAAGACTATCAGCTCGATGATTTGGATCATAGACCATGGAGTGAAGGCGGCAGGGGTCGTCGGCTTGCCGAGCATCTTGACCGCGGTGGGGGCATCGGGGAAGAGGATCCTGTGGGGGGCCACGAGGTCTGTCTGCGACTCTTTGATCAGGGTGGCCTTGAGGGAATGATTAGTACCATGGAACCGAAGGAAATACCAAAGATCAAAGACTACGACAGATTCAACTTACATCAAAGACATCTACTCGACACTCGTCGACGAAGAATCCCTCAAAGAGACCCTGAATCACCACGAGACCCTCTCCCAGCACCAGCACCACCGCATTGACCCAGGCGCCCCATCCGTGGAAGATGGCGAGAAGTGCAAACTGTGGGAGGAACGCAAATGTAAAGAGGATGAAGTAAACGAGAAATGATATGATGGATAGTGGCAGAAGGCGGCTGAGGAATAGCGGGTAGAATTCCTTGTTCCGCAAAAAGTACCAGATGCCGCGGATGGGAAACCAGGCCGCGATGCTGGCGCGCTTCAGGTACCCCACCGGACGCTCGACGGGTCGTAGGAGAAGGTCGGCGCGGGATGACCACGCGGAGCGCTGTGACTCGGACATTTGTGCGATATACGGCCTTCGCTGCCCTTTGTACTTGAGAAAATGGGAAGCACCGGCAAGTCAGAGTGGAAGTCGTCGCGGTCGTCGGTTTTGAGTTGAGGATGGTGTACCGGCGATGCGACGATAACGGTGACTTTTGGCGGAGGATTGCGTTGGTGGTTGCCTCTTTCCTCTGTACGTCATTCTGAGAGGCTGCATCTTATTGGACGGACCAAGCTGGGTACCTATCCACGTAGAAGCGGGTACCTCGCTGTGCAGGGAAGTGGGGGCTGAGTCGGGTCTTCCTGCCTTCCTTTAATAATATCCGTAGGTATCCGTACCTATTACCCCGCGGAAAGAGCCACGAAAGCTTGGAATGCTGGCCGGCAGGCACCTTCACCGAGGGTGGTACGTGCGCCGTACAGCGAGTTCAGTCGCTCTCACCGTGCCGGCGTGCTCTTGAACGAAAATATCAATTGGAACCAAGCCAATCTGGTGCGCCAACGAGGTTCAGTACCAAACAATCTTTCTCCATTTGTTTCAACGGATCCATGTCCTCCCTTGCAGCATTCAGGTTCAAATATTCGACAAGTCAGCCAACAGGCGGGTCAGTCCTTCCAAATCATCCAATTAGCAGTGCGTGGTCACAAACTGATGTTGTTGGAAGTTAGCTCCAACAGCATGAGAATGCCACCGCTTGCATGCCAAGGACCCTTGTCGAGCTGGCCGACCGGCTTAATCTGCCATCATCTTGCGCCAGGAACCACAACTCCGGCCTTCTAACTCCGGATTTCGCCCCTTGACCAGTCAACACGCTCGCGTACACGCCGACGTGGTTACACCAGACGTGCATGCCGTCAGACGATTCACCTTCTTCTGGACATATTCCGGTCCCGATGGAATGGAATACACGGTGTAAATAGACGTGCGACCCTTGAATTCACCCGGGACATCTTTATATAAAGACCGCCCGCCCCCCGCCAGCCCCAGATATTCTGGCGACCTTGACTTGAATCCATAGACTCGCTATCGACCAGGACTACCTTGTTTCGACACGATGTCCAATACTCAGATCTCTGTCTGCCATTGGTAAATCCAAGGTGGCTTTAGCGACGTTTCTTCCTCTTCAAAAATTTGAGGAATAGCAACCCTCAGGTCAGGGTTGCGATCTAGAGGATGGAACAGCAATTTTGCCAAGGCCTGTTGTGGCCTCTTCCGCCATGATTTATCTAGTCGTCGACAGACCAGGGCTTATGTTTGTATCCATTATGCATGGCAGATGGATTTGTCGCTAATTAAATGTTAGTTGCTTCTGGGCCTTTGCATCGTCTCCATCAAGCCTGATAGCGAACGCCGTATGGCCAGGCCTGCTTACGTTAACATGACAGGACCCCAGCATGCCTGTCCATTGGGGAGTCGTCGTTGGCGGCAATCGCCAGGAAACGTGATTGAACAAAAGATCGACCTTTGTGAATGAACCAGTCGACTTTTTCCGCCTTACGCCCAGTCCATTCGTTTTTTTGAGACATTTGATGCCGAATCCTGCTTTCGCAATCGCAAGCCATAGAGAAACGAGTCTACTACACCGAGCTCGGATGTCGAAAGGATCCAATTTACGGATACCCTCCAATGGCTACCGAGGCGACGGGCACTGACGCGACCGATTACGAGGGTTCCAAGAAGCGCAGCCGTGTCAGGTACTCTTGCACCATATGTCGCGAGAAGAAGTGAGTTTGCCCATGAACGACCCCAACAGCCTTGGACTGCATCTGACAGCCTCGCGTGTTTCTCAGGCGCAAGTGCAACCGCGGAGATCCTTGCGACCAGTGCGAGAAGCGGGGCCTTGCGAGCTCCTGTGTGATCGTGCCATATCTGATCAGAGGAGGCCCTGGTGCGAGCTCTGAACATGCTGCCCTCCGCCATCAGACACCCCAGTCTGCCGAGATGGCGGCTCTGCAAGCCAAGCTGCACCGTCTGACCGAGGAGCTGGGCCAAATGCGGAGTCGAGAGGTCGAGATGTCTCGAAACCCGATCTCGGAATCTAGCGCGTCTAGTGTCAGCGTCAAACAGCCTTCCAGCGGGACTGAAACTCCAAGCCTGATGGGAATCACGGAGCCGACGACTGCGGGCCCGATGGTGGACAGGGTGCGGTATGTAGATGCCGCCAACTGGGAAGCTATTCTTGACGACGTGAGTTTGGAAATGCATCGAGGAGCGTAGCCATGTTTGTACTGATTTCTCCCAAGATCACCAGGCTCACTACGCATTTCAAAACCAAGAAATACGTAGTGTGTGACGCCGAAGAGCCTGAAGACATGCCCGCCGGCAATGCTTCCTCAAAACCTACTGTGCCGTTTCTTTTCTCAGGAGCATTCCCAACGGCCAACATGACTACTCTCATGGCATTGTTGCCGTCAAAGAATCTCACGACTAGGTTGATTGAACGATTTTTCGAGGGGAAAGAACCTGCTTGGTGTACGTCCTGAAAGCTTGACTATCTACTTGCGTATTTTACTAACTTGGCATCCCCCGAGTAGGTATGTTCCATGTGCCTACTTTCTGGAAAGAGGCAAGTATTGATCGATCACACCCAACTATCGTGTAGACGCTCACATATTCTAGTTTCATGAATTTTGGGAGGATCAAAGTCAATTCTCTTTAACTTGGCTTGCACTCTTGTTCGCCATGATTAATCATGCTGCCTTCTTCTGTCTAAGGGCAGACGAAGCGGTCCCTGGCGACTTGGGACCTGCAACTTACGTTGCCGACATTTTTCGCAGCCACTGTGCGCGGTGTCTAGCCCTAGACAACTACACGACCCCTGGGAAGTACAAGGTCGAAACGATGATGCTGTACTTTGGATCAGAGTATCTCCGACTAGCCGATGCCCAGCAGAGCACGGTATGCCATGAAGTTCTCCGCTCTAAGGACTAATCCCCGCAGAACTGACGCAAAATAGGCAATCCTGATGTCCATCATCGTTCGCTTGGCAATGCATTCAGGAATGCACAGAGACCCAAGCCATTTCAAAGGCATGTCAGTCTTTGAAGGCGAGATGCGCAAGCGCCTCTGGACAATCGTCACCGAAATCGACGTGCTCATAGCCTTCCAATTCGGCCTTCCCTCTAACGTGCAGTCTCAATATTTCGACACAGGTTTGATCTTTCTTCCCCATGTGGTTTCTGAAATCTAATGTGAGCAGGTCTACCTCGCAACCTCCACGATAGGGATTTTGACGAGGCTACAGTAAAGCTACCCCCTGAGCGTCCGATGACCGAGGTCGAGCGAACGCCAGTGATGTACACGATTGTGAAATCCAGACTTGTGGTGGTATTTAGCGATATTGTCTCGCGCATGGCAAGTCGCAGCAGTCCCGACTACGGAGAGGTCCTACGCTTGGATGAGCGGTTGGAAAGGGCGCATGAAGAAATCCCTCCCGTCTTACGAGATCGATCGTTCACTCTTTCCGTCGAAGACACTGTCGATTTAATCATGCAACGGCTCTGGATAGAGCTCATGTACCTGAAGGCTCGCATCGTCCTCCATCGCCGGTACTTCACACTTGGACGCAAAGATATCCGATTCGCGCACTCCAGATTCGCCTGCATCAATGCGGCCACCAAAATATTGGAGATTCAGTTCAACGTCAACGAGGAGTATAAGCCTGGAGGCCGTCTATCACGCGATCGCTGGTTCGTCTCCAGTCTGAGCACTCACGACTTTCTCCTTGCGGATATGATGCTTTGCCTGGAGTTGTCTCACCTTTTACGCCCCGAAGGCCGCAACACGATTGGGATACACATTGACAAGGAGCCTCTCCTTTCCATTCTTCAGGCGTCTAGAGATATTTGGAAGTCCAACCGGAAAGATTCCAGCGAAGCCGTTCGAGCTTTCAAGATTTTGTCTCGTATGCTTAGCTTGTCGACTGGAGACCATTACGAGAGCACTCCGGAGACGGTTAGCTCAGATGGAGTGCATGGTACTGACATGGGAATGCGCCCGTCTTATCAACTAGCATGCAGTGGGTGCCCCCATGGACATCGTGTTCGCGTAGCCCTCAGCTAACCTTGAACCCGTATAGATCCCGTCATACCTACGTACATGCCTCAGCAACCCGTAGAAACTGCATGGATGGAGCAAGATGGATCTGCTCGATGGGGATACATGCCAACCGCGAGTTCGTCAGAGTCCATCCCAATTCCTATGACGGGAGTGGACACGGCCATGACCTTGGACTGGGTTCGTTCAATTTTGTGACAGACGTACGTGGATGGTGCTAATAACTTTCGCAGAGTGTCTGGGATACCAAGGTCCAAGATCCAAACGTGGATACGATCGACTTGCCATGGCTGAAGAGCTTTACAGACTCTCTCAACGGGTAGGACGTACACGAGAGAAGGTGGGATCCTGCTCGACCAGGTTGAATGGGTGATTGTGCTGCCGCCATGGTGTCATTGCAGACTCCAAACTGGACACAGGGGACGATGCGTACTATATATATTAGATGATGAATGAGAAATGAAGTAAACGCAAAAGACTGATTCAAAAATTTGGTCGGGTTACTAGACCCAGGTTGTCCGGATAGAAGATTTGTATCCAATTGGCTGTATGCATTAACTCATTATATTCAAGATGCCCACATTCACTTTCATCCTAACCATCCATCACCACCACGGCCCCCTTTCTCTTCTACGTCAACGCAACACCCGACGCCGCAAATGTGGCATAAAACAGCTTTGTCTGCCCTGTAATGACCATCCTTCCGTCGCCCGCGAACTGGAAGTTCGCCGCCGTGGTGCCCGTGTAGATCTTGCCGATGAGCTTGCCGGACGGGTTCCAGACGTGGACGCCGTCGTTGCAACCAGCGTAGACGTTTCCCTTTGCGTCGCAGTGGACGCCGTCGGGGAGGCGGGCGGAGGTGTGGGCAAAGATTTTGCGGTTTTCAAAGGTGCCGTCTTCTTTTACTTCGAAGCGGTAGCTGTTATGGATATTAGATGAGGTTGGTAGGTGGGAGATGGGGGGTTATGGTGAGGGTGAAGAAGAGGGGGAGGAAGTGGACTTACACTGTTGCTGGCTTTGTAAAGTTTGTGCCGAATTGGCCTTGGGAGATGCCCGTGTCTGTAACGTAGGCATAGGTGCCGTCCGGAGAGAGGGTGATGCCTACGATTCCTTCGAGTCAGCTCTCTCGTAACAACTAGCACGTTCATCCAGCCCTCGGTTGACTTCCAGCAGAAGAACGTACCATTCGGTGACACAAACTCGTCAGTAACAACAGTCAAGGCTCCCGTGGTGGGGTTGAGGCGGTACACCTGGTTCGGAAGACCCGGCGCGGGGCGGAAGTTTTGCCAGTAACCGTACTGGGTGTCTGTGAAATAGATATCGCCGTTGCGGCGGGAGACGACAACGTCGTTGAGGGAATTGAATTGGCGGCCAAAGTAGTTGTTTACGAGTACTGTGTGGCGGAGGTGGATGGTTAGCATTTTGAGATTGGAGGGGGGAAGAAAGCTGGAAAGGGAAGTTTTGGGGGATGCTGAAGAGGAGGGTTTGGACGAACTTGTGGTGTTGTAGGGTTCTACTGGGTTCATGAGATACAGGGCCGAGGGAACGCGGTCGCCTTGGCCTTCGCCGGCGAATATGATTTGGCCTTTGTAGTTTGTTCCACCTGCGTTGTGTTAGTTGAGATCAATCTTCAGCTGCCATCGCGTGAAGAGTGAGTATGAGGAGTCCTTACCATTAGGATTAATGACCTGCGGGTTCGAGGGGACGGTGGTGACGGTGACCTCTTTGGTACCCAGGGACCCATTGCGAAGAGCCTCTGCGTCGGCGAGGCGGATCTTTTGGACGATGGAGGACTTGTTGAGGCCGGTTCCTGCTGCGGGGGGACCGGCGTTTTGGACGAAGAAGACTTCTTCTGTTGGGGGGTACCTTTTGATGTCTTTGTTAACTGCGGCTCAAAGTTCAAGTGATTCTGAGCAGGGAGGGTGAGTGAGTGAGTGAGTGAGAGTGAGGGTGAGGGTGAGGATGTGAGTGAATCAGTAATGGGAGAGTGGGGATTTAGCATACCATACAACCGCCTCATGAAAGATTGGATCCGTCTCCGAGGTCGCGATGAGGGTCAGTGACGGGTCGCTGCCGATGATGTCGTAGAATTCCGGGTCGTAGATGTGGAACGGCTTTTCGGTGAGAGATTCGTGCGTGACGCCCGGCCAGAGGAATTCCTGTTTCCAGATCCATGTCAACGATTCGGTTCTCTTTCATCAAGCTTCATCAATCATGGCAAAGCGACTTCTTGGTGACATACCGACGAGGCATTGAATTCCAAAGGAGGCGGGACGACCTCCAAGACATTGAAGCTCTTTTGGTCGATAATCTGGGCTTTGGCGGGGAGCGCCCTCTGGGCTGCCGCAACCTGGGCATGCACTCCCGAAGAAGAGAGGAGGAGACTAGCGGCGCCAGCGAGGCTGACGGCGATGGAGAAGGAGGAGGCCATGACGGAGGTATTCTGGAGGGACGACGACCAGGTGGATAAGGGTGGGATGGTGTTGCAGGTGAGGATTGATTTATACCCCGGCGCCAAGTCCATGGCTCTTCTTCTCCGCGTGCTTGAGTCTAGTCTTCACCGATGGCGCGGATCCGATGCGTACGGATACCTAGCAATATGAAATGTACGTAAAGGTACGGATACCAAGAGCAAGGTATGGTAGTATGAGGGGTAAAAAAAAAGGCGTGGAACGGTGGTTAGCTTGCTTGCACCTTTGGGCCCTTGTTCATGTTGATCCCAAGAAAACTAGACTCCAAAAAAGTCTGGGCAGTGGCCGCGGTGGACACCGAGAGGGCGGACTGTCCTGTTCGGCGGAGATTACCCGGGTTGTCCGAGGGAATTAACGGCAGTTGTCCTCCTCCTCCTCCACATTGTCCACCTTGCGATGCTTGAGTCGTCCATATCTCACCCCGGTCTCAAATACCACAGGATGCATGCTATCCTGGGATGGCACACGGATTCCCGAGTAAGATGGCAGATGAGAAACAAGAACGTCGAGGTGAAGGATGCAACCACTGCACGGTAAAGAACCCGGGGTGCGGTGCGGGGTGCGGGGAAGAGACAGCAGAAGCAAAAGCTCCAAAGCCGGGCGGGAAACGGACTGGACTGGGCTTCGATGATCTACTGCCTTTACTGCTACAATGCCGTCCATGATCCGCTACTTCAAAGGCGGAGATGACGCCAGAGCCCCAATCATTGATGGGCGACTCGTTACTTGGCAGGGGAAGGGGGGATATCCGTCAATGTCAAGGCCCGGGCCAGAGGCCATCCCCGAGCTCCGGCTCGGAGGCCGGGTTCAGCTCTCGATAACCTTTAATCGACTCACCGGCAGTCTTGATCAGTAGGTTATTTCAATTTTAGTGATCAAGGACGCGTCTTTAAGCTTAAAATGGCTACAATCCATGATGTTTCCTAGAGCACAATCAATCGGAGACTACACTTTGAGTAGCTTGATGGTAGCCCCAAGTTTAGTTCTTTGTTTCCCATTGAGTTTGGCTTCTAGTGGCCCGGGTGGATGGGTGTGGACAGCGACCCCTGTTTGCATAATGGAACGAACCCATGAGTCGGAAAAGAGTTTACATTGTTAGTGTACAATGTGTCCGTCGCGCGGGGAGAAGACCGGAAAAGCGGGTAGAACGGGAAGGATACTTGTCAATCGTCATTCCATGAGGCATGCAGAAAGAAGGGTTGGGATCTTTGGAGGAGGTTCCCCTCCCGAACCATGGGCGTGGGTGGTTGTGAGGATACTTGAGTCAGTTAACCCCCCGATGCTCAAGAAGCAATGCCCGGTGTTTGGTGAGAGGGAATGACACGGAGGGAGCCATGGCAAGTTCGCCGGACACACCAAACAAAGCCTCTTCCGATAGCATGATACACGCCATCGAGCTCTCAAGAAGGCAGACAAAAAGGAAGGTATTCTGGTCAGATCCATTGAGCCCAACAGCAAAAAGCAACGAGTGACAACTGTGAGATTCGAACTCACGCCTCTTTCGAGACCAGAATACGCCCCGCTTGTGGGGAAGTTACCATTTGATGGGAAACTTGAGTCTGGCGCCTTAGACCGCTCGGCCAAGTTGCCGTGTGATTCGTTGGACGGTTGACGACGCCAGAGAGCTCAAGTCCCGTTTCCATGGGGATCGTCCGCGTCTCCAGTCTTGATGACAGCTTGGCGGTGTTACCGGTATCATGGGAATGCCTTTTGTCCGATGTCACCTTTGCAATCGTCGACCCGGGTTCTGAAGCCTTGACTTGCCGATTCTTGTTGTGGTTAGTTGAGGGGTTTAAGTATTCGCACACTCTCACTGGCATTGCAGTTCTTGCTGTGACGGGCTCACAAGGAGTGGGTCTCAGAGAGTGGGACGGCTTCCTGGAAGAGGCGGCGACATGTACACTAGAAGTCATTCGCAGCTCATGCTAGCTATCATCATGGGAGAGGAGAGTCAACCACCGCAGTCTGATGGACCACGATTCCTCTATTCTTGTTCTTGTTTTTGTTGGTTTCCAAGACTATAGTTCCCCCAATGAAGAAGACAAAAGCGCAAATCAAGGAATGGTAGTGGTTCAAGCCTGAACCCCTTTGATGCGTCTCTTCCACCAAAAGGCCGTAAATCTATTCCCAAGTCTATCATCATACCAAACAGCCAAATAACCAAAGAACAACCCATCTTGAATCATGAAGCACATCCCCAAATCTAGCAGTCAGGTACACTAACAGGGATATTAAACGGCACGCTCGTCGCCAACCCACTCAAACTCGTCTCCTTGAACTCATTCCGCATCCCCTTGGCCGTCAACCGCATCGCCCGAATCGCATCGTCAAGCCTTACCTTCTGCGTCCCCGTCTCGCTGCTCAACGCCAAATTCGCGCTCGAAATCGCCTTAATCGCGCCCAGCGCATTCCGCTCGATACACGGCGCCTGCACCAGCCCGCCGATCGGATCGCACGTCAGGCCGAGGTTATGCTCGATGCCAATCTCGGCCGCCTGCTCGATGGCCTCGGGACTAGCGCCCATGCACGCCGCGAAGGCGCCGGCCGCCATGGAGCACGCGACGCCTACTTCGGCCATGCACCCGCCCTCGGCGGCGGAGATTGTGGCGCCGCGCTTGTAGAGCATGCCGATGGCCGCGGCGGTGAGGAGGAAGGTGGGGATGTCGCGCTCCGGGTCGTCGGAGATGAATTCGATGGTGTATTTGAGGACGGCGGGGATGATACCCGCGGCACCGTTTGTGGGGGCCGTGACGATGCGGCCACCGGCTGCGTTTGTTTCGTTGACGGCGATGGCGTAGACTGTGAGGTAGTCCATTGTCGGGAAGGTTGTGCGGCGGGAGGGGGAGGGCGTGATGGGGTGGTCTAGGGAGCCTAGGATCCGGGGCGGTTGGCGGCGGCCTACGCTGAAGCCGGGTACGTTGGATTTGTTGATCGTTGCCGGGGTGGATGCGGAGGAGAAACCGGGGAGGGAGGCCTTCTCGCCGGTGGCCTTGTCGAGCGGGTTGGGGGATGTGTGGCCGGCGGTGGAGTAGAGGCCTCGGGTTAGCCTCCGGTAGAGGGCGGGCGCGCGGCGATGGAGTTTGAGGGAGCCGGGGAGCTTGGTGTCCAGCGGTGCCTGGACGCTCTCGAGGATGCTCGTGTCCATGACCTGCCAGATCTTGAAGAGCTTGTGATAGATTTCCTCGTCCGTGTACCCGTGGCTCTTTTCGTTCTCGTACACGAGCTGGGCGATGGTGAGGTTGTGCTTGCGGCAGAGCGCGAGCAAGCTGGTCGCGTCGCGGAAGGGGTACCGGGGGCCCGAAGGCTCGTTGGTAGAGCTCTCGGATCCTTCATGTTCATCGACGCCGTTTCCGGTTGTTGAAGCGATGGGGGATAGCACATCCCCTTGTGCGCCCTCGAGCAGCATCGCGTTTTCCTTTGCTTCGTCTAGGGGCTTAACCTCGGCACCCGTCCGACGGTCTCCCGCGGCATCGGAGCGGCGAATCTCCTTGTAAAACATGTTCTCCGCCAAGTCGGCCGGATGCCTTCCGGCAGTCTCGCCGTCCGGGCTTTCCACCTGCGTCATGGACGAAGATGACGCCGGCGAGGCGTCCGGGTTAATAGACAGCGCACCATTAACAACGAAGCCTCCGCCGACGCTGAACATGTCATTGGTAGCCAAGACGTAACCCTCGTCATCAAAGACTGTGAAGCGCATGCCGTTGCTGTGCATGGGCAACTTGCGACCCCATTCCCAGACGAAATCCCGCTCATAATCAAACGCGACCTCCTTGCCCTTGCCATCCGAGAGACCCTGGCCCAGGAAGAGCTTCTTGCTCGCCTTGATCTCTGTGAAGCGCTCCGGGACATAGGCCGTATCGACGGTCTCCACATCGGCGCTCTCGAGGCCGAGAAGCAGCGCCGAGGGCGTCATGTGACCCTCGCCCGTGAGCGCCAGACTGCCATAGATGGAGACGCGGATCTTGTTGACCTTGTGCAGGAGGTTGGCTTCTGCTAAATCGGCGACGAAAATGTTGCCGGCGCGCATGGGGCCTACGGTGTGAGACGACGAAGGGCCGATGCCGATGGAGAACAGGTCAAATGTTGAGATGACGGCGTGCTCATGGTCTGCCTCGCTATAACTTCCCGCATCTTCCTCATCTTCCGCCGCGGATCCAGATGCGGACTCATTGCGGCGCTGGGCTGTAGTCCCGAATAGCCTCGTCGACTGAAGACCTGTGAATACTCCCGCTGCTGCTGCTGCTGCTGGGCCTCTTCCAGTGTGTCGGATCTGGTGCCGAGTTGTCGGGTTGATGGCCGAGAGAGTGGTGTAGTTGGGGCCGGCGAGCCGCGTTGAAGCGCGTCGAGCCGATGACGATGCCCCACGCAGCTGGGCGAGCCGCTGGATAGGACGGCTGCTCATGGCTGTTGCTGGAACGAGCAACCAACGCCGGTCAGGTTGAATGACTTGTGAGGGCCAATGTTCAGAATTTCGACTGAGTAGGGGAAGAGAAGTTTCTCATCAACAATGGGTAATTTGTGTAAACTTTTGCGTTTGACAAGGCGGTCTAGGGGTTGCCCTGAGAAAGAGATAAGAGCCCAGAGCACAGATACAAAAGAATGCTGGGCGGGTGCTGCGTGCTGCGTGCTGCCACTCATCATCCCTAGCAGCTGGATCCCCGATGGTCTGGGGTAAGACACACCAAACAGATGGTCGCATTGACCAATCATTTGCCGTAGATTTGTAAACTCCACCGAGGGGCATCAGGGTAACGTAATGGTTTGGTGATGTTCTTGTCTACTTGTGGAAAACCTTGTTGTCTCTCTCGCTGAAACTGCCGTCGGTTGTCGTTCATCGCAAGATGCAATTTGTGAGATGGTCGTATCTACAGGTATCCTCAAGGTGTTGTTGGTTGGATGAGAGGAAACTTCATGCAATAGGCACCCGTATTCAGGACCAGCCTTATCGTTATTGGACGAGTACAATGTCGTAAGCCACGTTAAGCCTGTTCGGGGAGGTCCCTCACCAAAGGATCAGCAGAGGAAGGGTGTTGGTGGTGGTGGTGGTGGTCAACGCTTTTGATGCCACGCAACATCTCACCTAAGATTCGGGTGGTTTCATCTTGGTGCGATAATACTCACTGCATCTCATTATCGACTAATTCACCCTCATAAATCGTCTCATTTTGCTTTCGCAACAATGACCGACCCGGAAATTGATGGCGGGGATATTCACCCACTCGAGATTGAGATCACAGGAGTGCATGAGCCTCAAACGGCCGCCACCAAACCCGTACCTCATCCGCAACCACAATCAGTCTTCTTCTCAACTCTCCCACTCGAAATCCGCCAAAACATTTACAGCCACTTATGGCAAGCCACCGGACCGATCCAACATGTGTATAAGTCCAGCGCCTCCCCTCTAGCGCCCTTATCTCACTGCCCGTGCATCGCCAACCTGGACGCCGAAGATATCCGTGAAGACGAGCTCTCCCGCGTACTCAACACGCCGGCTGCGGACCCGGCGACTTTGCAAGATGGCGTGGGACCTGGTTCCGAAGAAGAGCGCGAGGCGATTCAAAATTGGCGCTTTCGGATTGTTTCATCGTGGTGTAATCACTGGAAGTGTGAGGAGGAGCCGCCTATTCTGCGAGAACTCCAACAACTCTCGCTAGAAGACAGCGACGATGGGGAAAAGAAGGCGGATGAGAGTTCCAAGGGTAAACGTCGTCAGATTCTCGTTAAAGAGTACAGCCCGTTCCTCGCTACTCTTCTCACCTGTAAACGCATGCAAGAAGAAGCCATCGACTCCCTCTACAACGACACAACCTTCTCCTTCATCAACACAGACGCCCTCACCCGCTTCCTCGGCACCACATCCACCACCTCCCTAGCCCGCATCAAAAAGCTCCACTTCACATGGCGAGCCCCGATAGAGACGTACATGGACCCGGAAGCAGACGAAGTCATCGCCGAGAGAATCAAATGGTGCGACGCATGGACATCCGCTGCCGACAAACTCCCGCGCCTGCAGGAGCTCCGGATCTGGGCGTATCCTTACTACGCGCGCTATCCGACGCCCTTTGAGGAGTGGTTCGAGCCGCTGCACCAGTTTGGGAGGCACAAGATGCCGGCGTCGCGGTTCCACGTCTCGTTGCGCTGGTTTCAGAATAACCTGCCAGAGATGGACACGGGACCGTTGGACTTTTTGGAGGCTGCGCCGTTTGGGTATGATATGGTGCCGCCGTGTCAGGAGAATCCGTTACATTTTCACTGGCGGAGATTGGTTGGGTTGGGACCGGATGAGCCGAGGGTGCCGATTACGAGGAGGCAGAGGAAGAGGAGGTATGTTGGGAGGGCTTTGTAGTGATTTGGGGGGGGATAGACTTTGAGGTTTTTGACGTAGGTAGCGTAACAAGTCTCCCTTCGAAGGCGATATATCTGTGTGGAATTGTACCTTCGCGTAGGTAACCCCATCCGGTCTCAAGGTTTGATCTCCGAAATGACGAAAAGCAGTAAGCCATGCGTAAATGGTGGCAACATTTAGTATAGTCTTTGAGTGAAGGAGCATATTCACGACGATGTCGATGCATGTATTCGATAAGATTAGAATAGGCTATAATGATTCTAGATATCTAGATGTAACTAGGAACGCTCAAAGGAAGTCGCTGCAAATAACAAGGCCTATCTCATGCATTATTACACGCTCATAAATCAACGCTCGGCATCGCAGAGTGCGTTGCATAAATATTCTCCTCTCGACAAGTCGTACGTTGCTCAAGGTCCGCGGTGCCAGTCTCCTCGGCTAGAGCTATGACACGAAGTAAGTTCTGGGCAAGGCTCGTGAGAGTAGTGGTAAACTCCTCCAAGATATCGCAAATCTTGACACTACCATTCCCCTCTTCCGAAGCCAAACACTCAAACTCACCAAGACCCTTCTTACAAGCGTTGATCGCCTCATGGATCTTGGTGATGGGATCCTTGTGTAGCCTCTGGATTAGACCCTCGCTCTCATCGAGCAAGGAATCAGAACCGTTGGAGCCGGCGGCTTGCATGTAACGCTTACAACCGTCTTTCAGGTCGGAGAAGGCCTTTCTCAACAGCGCTTGTGTGTTGGCTACGGTTTCTCTCAGCTCTGAGGTGTCTCCTGTAGCGTCACTTGCAACAACGTCTGACAGGATGGCCATGACGCCGTCTAGGCCATCGGCGAATACGAGCAAGGCATCCTCGTACACGTACACCGGCACAGATCCGCGGCTCGGGTCAAAGGCCGTATTGTTGGTGAGGGCGTTTTGCATCCTCACGAGAGCATCAGTCAGTCTTGCAGTCGTAACTTGAACCGTAATGAGATCTCTGGGACATTTTGGAGGAGGTAGACGCCCAATGGCGTACTGCTGCAGATAGCCCCTGATTTCCTGGGCGTGCGGCCCGCCGTGTGTCTCGGCGAAGCGCACGTCGGCGATGGTGCCTGCGGACTCGAGGAGAGTCTTTGGTCCGCCTGGGTGGATGGTGAGGAAGGGCGTCAGGTCGTAGACTTTTCCGTCGATGGCGGCCCAGCTTGAGGTGATTGAGTTGTGGGCTGCGAGCTCGGAGGGGGTGATGATGGGTAAGGAGGAGGAGGTAGTGGAAGAAGAAGATGGTGCCTGTGACTTGAATGGTCTTTTTACGGCGGTGAAAAGATCTTGGTGGAGTCTGTCCCAATGAGCTGGAGGTGAGAGGATGTCTGTATAGTTGTTGTCGTCGAAACAGTTTATATCTTGATCTTCTGGCTGCGGTTGGCCCAATTCGAGACTGTTCGTCACCGTAGCTCCAAAGTCGGAGCTGCCGCAGACAAAGACGTGACCTCCCTCATCTTTGACGAGATGATGGATTGAGTCGCGGTGCTCTACCAAGTGGCGTCTCACATGCCGCTCCCCCTCGGATAGCTGGCTCCGGATCCCACCGCGGATCCTGAAGTGGTGTGTTTCCTGGCTGAGGGCCAGAACAACGGTCAACGGCAAGACCCTAGTGAGATGTTCCAGGCTGTCGAGAGGGCAGGGCACATGGCGGCGTGTTTTGGCAGCGACAACGAGGAGCAGCTCGCCCACATCATCGGTGCCGTCACGGCGCTGCTGAGCCCATGCCGACCGTTCGTGGAGGAAGCCTAGCAAGGGCCCGATGCCGCTGCCTTGGCCGACCAGAACTAAAGGCACGGAAAGGTCGTGGGGTTGGCGGAAACGCAGACTGGGCCATGGACGAAGACGCAGAGGTGTGCCTTGAGCGGCGTTGCTCAAAAATGAGGAGACGAGACCCTCGGGTGAGTGTTGACTAACTGTCAGAGTGATGGTCATGCCTCCTTCTCCTGCTGAGTCGGTCGCAACACGCGCGATGGAGTAGAATCTCGGATCAGCATCATCATTCCCATCTTCGACGGTCTCATCTGATAGCGCATCATGATCTTCTGGAGGTGTGGAAGCCCTCAACCATCGCTGATGCGAAGAAGTCCTGTCGAGGTTTCTCCTCTTCCTCGGTGGCCAAACTTGCACACGGTCGCCTGCCTCGAGCGGCAACTTGGCATCCAACTTTACTTCCACCACGGTGCTACCCTCGTACACAGTCTGCGACTGGATGCGCGCATTCTGCCACAGAGGCCGGCCGCCTAGTCGCGACGCCATGCCAGCCTTCATCTGCATGCTGAGCATAGCCTCAGGACGCATCTTTGGCTTTCCCTTTCCTTTTCCAGTTGACGCAGAGGACGAACCGGCATGCTTGCACTGGTCGGTGCTCTTGACGCCGCTGCTCGTGGAGTGACGGCCCGTATTCAGCGACACGCCCGTGACGCCAATGGCCTTGACGCGGTGCCGCTCGAGGAACCAGACGTACATCTGCAGGAGCCCGTCCCACGCCGCCTCGAGATGGCGGTACTGCGACTGCTCTTCCGAGGATACATCCTTCGGAGCACGAGCGGCACACGCGGCGACGTAGTCTCTCACGCTTGCGGCCCGATCACCGAGAGCGTCCAGAAAGGCGCGGATGTTGGCCGGTAGCGTGGCTTTACGGTCGCTCTGCATCGCTGTCAAGTCACCCTTGACGTCCTGGCGGCCGATGAAGACGTCCAGTGCGTGGAAGAGCGGCGTGTCGGCGCCGCTGTTGCCCAGTTCGCCGGGCGTCACAGCGCGGCCCATGGCTGGGTACGTCTTGATCCAGACAACGGGATCAAAGATCGCCGCGTCGCGGAGGGTCATGGCCTCGAAGACGTTGGCGCATTGGACAATATTGGCCGCCAGGCTCTCGAGGCAGTGCGTGACTTGGTCTGGCTGGTCGGCCAGCACGCCGCTCTGCGCGAGTGCCATGGCGGAGAGGGCTGGTGCAAAAATGCCCTCCATTGTGCCTTGAAGGCCTGAAGAGAGGCGCTCCTCAGGGAGGCCGAAGTAGGCGCTGCTGAGGTTGAAAGCGGCATTCCCCATGGCGTTGTTGAGGACGTCGTCGGCGGGCACCTTTGGCAAATTAGCTTCTGAGATTTCGAGAATTATTGCTCTCTGTACTTACCCGCCCCGTCAGTTTTCTCCCCAATGCAGTGCAAACTCTTTCCCACGGATCGAGAACATGGCGCGGCACCTGGGATCGACCCTCACACTCTTTGCTCTTGTTCTGCTCCTCGCCAAACATGTAAGCGTGAGCCAGCGCGCTCAAGACGAGCGCTGCTCTCGCCAGATGACGCTGTTCCAAGTCATCCCATGCATCTCTGCCACCTGAAGCCGCGTGCTCGCGTAGGGCATCAACAGCATGACGCACTCGTCGTGCTCGCAGCAAGCGCGGTAAGTTCCCATGAACCACCTCCCATGCCTTCAGAGACGCAGGCAAACGTTGAGTTTGGCCTAAGCTCCTTACAGAATTACTAATACTAAGGTTGATGACGTTGGTTGGAGGCATTGCTTGGCATCCAAGGAAGCCCCTGGCGCTGGTAAAGCACCCATCGAGGCCCGTGCCGAAACGGAGTGTTCGTGTTCGTGTCTCCGTTCCCGCCTCCGCTCCGAAGGCCTCGGGGTCCCGGAACTTGAATTCTGTCGACGATGACGTACGACCGGCCAGCGCCGTTGCCAGGGAGGCCTGGGCGAGGAGGAAGCTGGACTTGGAGATGGGGCAGTCGATTAGTGTTGCGTACGATTCGCTTGTGGCGTGTTGTTGTTTTTGTGCCGGAGTTTCCGGCGGCGTGATGATGCCTCCGGCTGAGAATGCTTGGGGAACGTTGAGAAAAATTGAGGAATTCTTTTGCTTGATTGTATCTTGTTGTGATTTGTCCTGGAAGGATTGTTGTACAGGTGAAATGGGAGCCGAAAGTGGCGTTGAAGGTCGTTGGTAACCAGGCATGTTGGGTAACTTTGTGAGAGACGTATTAATGAAAAAGTGGAATATGTAGATAAGTCTTGTTACAACGAAGATGAAGAGAGAGGCGAAGTCACTGGTTCCAGATCAGTGATCACCAAATGTGAAGCAAAATACGTGGACTTCGTGATTCATTAAGCATATAATTCAAAGTTGTTCTTTCTGTCGATCATCCTGAATGTTCAGAATAGGCAAGTGAGTAAATATATCTAGATATATGCCGAGGGCACTGCAATAGAAAGAGAGAGAGAGAGAGAGAGATTCTCCCTCGGTCTTGTTACGTATTGCCTATTCCGGGCAACAGCGCTTGGAAGCTTGTGGCATACAATCCATGGCCTCAACTCGGAAATAACCTCAAAGGTATCTTCACAACTTGGCTCTAATTCCGAAAGTATTTCGTATTCAGATGATGTCTCCCTCCACCTCCACCTACCGAACCGGCGTTTATTCACTATGCGGCATTCCGTAGTAATGACCCAGACCCAAGCAGAGCAGACATCCGGCATGATGGATCGGCAGTGCAAAGCAGAACATTTTGTTGTTCGGCAGTGCCCCGACGGTGTGGTTGACAACCGTCCGATCATACCATCTATACTAGCCATTTTGGGTAGCGAGGACGATTACACACCGTGCACGACCGGGTATTCGGTGCCTGATTGAGTCAAATATGGTTCTCTAGAAATACGAATACACGCTCGTCCAAGCGCAGGATGACGGGGCATCTTGGGCCTTGGCGCAACCTTTTCGCCAACATTAAAGATGATAGAGTTTGAACCTAGGAAAATTATTCTCCTGTGATAATGTCCGATTCCGTCATATGGGAAATTATGCGAGAAAGCTTGCAGCTTTTCACAGTTCTCTTGATCGACTTCACAAGTTCAGAAGAACCTAGCCACCTAGCCCGCGGAACTCTTACCGAACCTCCCCGTCCAGCCTCTGAGCTCAAGCTGACGGCCCTTCAGGCACACGGCTACGTCAAAACGCCTCTGCCCTGCCCTGCCCCTTGCTTCGGGTCCCTCGGACGTTGCGAATGCGAAAATAACGACACCCAGTACACTTTCGGCTTCGGGGTTGAGTCTATCGATTATATGAGTTGCCCGTTGGGGAAATCCTTTTTTGGGATACTCGCTTTCCGCCTTGCTGTGGTCTTAGTAACAACCCAGGCCATATCAGCTTCACTTGACATTTTCACCCCTCAATGTTGAAGAGTCTGGACTCGGACTGACGACAACCTCTCTTGAGTCTTCATTAGTTCTCTTCAGATCGGTCCTCTATCCCGGAGATTCGGAGAAAAGCCACTATTTGTACGATCCGGAACGAAGGAAAGTCAAAAAGCGAAAAAGAGAAAACAACTTGAACCAGCACGTCCCTCGGAGTTTCGGCCTAGAACTCCCCGCTCACTAACAACTCGAGTTCATCATGTTTCTCGACATCATCCCATTCAACGCTCACCTAACCAAACTGCCGGTCCTTCAGAGTCTCCTCTGGACTCTCGGCCCAGCAATTCTCGGACTTTTCGTCCTACGCACCATCTACTACCTGACTCTCCATCCCCTGGCAGGGTATCCAGGCCCCTTACTCGCGCGCATCACTACCATCCCATGGCTATGGCACCGCGCCCACGGCACCAACCACAGCTGGCCTCTGCTCCTCCACAAGCAGTACGGCCATGTTGTGCGCATTGGCCCAAACGAGTTGAGCTACAGCCATCCCGATGCCTGGCACGACATCTACGCCAAAGCGGGCGGCGGTGGCGATATGCCAAAGGACTACGTCGGACTGGGGCCGGACATGGCGGCGCCCGAGAAGGGCATCGTGCGGGCCGAGAACGATGCCGACCATCAGCGGCAGCGGCGTCTATTCTCTCACGCCTTTTCCGATCGTGCCGTGCTCAAGCAAGAGAGCCTTGTGCAGGGCCACGTTCGCAACTTGATGAACAAGTTGGCCGATGAGAACGCGGAGCCTGCTTTAGCTTCTGCTTCTTCTGCCCATGGTGATGGCCGCGTCGACCTCATGACCTGGCTGAGCTACCTCGCCTTTGACATTATGGGCGACCTCATGTACGGCGAGCCTCTCGGCATGCTCGAGAGCGACCAGTCGGCGCGCCAGTGGGTTAGGGATACGTACTCAACCATCAAGACAGTCACGCTCGGCATGACTATGATGGGTTGGCACGCACCCCTGGGCCCCTTTCTGCTCAAACTCATCTGGGGCGGCAGCGGTGAGCGCCGCGCCCGACACAACCGCTTCTCGACGGACCGCGTCGATAAGCGCCTGGACCGTGGTGACGACTCTGGCAGCGACATCTGGTCCATGATCATGCAAAACAGCGGGAGCGAGAAGAAGCCGGGCATCTCGCGTGCCGAGATGTACTCCAACGCCGCGACTTTCATGATTGGTGGCACTGAGACTACAACAGCCGCAACCTCGGCTCTGAGTTACCTGCTCCTCACGCATCCATCCAAGATGGCCACGTTACGCGCGGAGCTTGACGCCGCCGTTGAGGATCCGCAGGAGGACTTGAATTTTAGTCGATTGCGGAAGCTGCCCTACCTCAACGCATGTATCGAGGAGGTCATGCGCGTGTACCCGCCTGCGCCGACGCCAATGCCGCGGATGGTCCCTCCTGGAGGCCGTGTCGTCTGCGGCCGCCATGTTCCAGCGGGTACGCGGGTAGACATCCCACTATACGCGATTGCGCACCATCCAGATAACTTTGTTGATCCTGAGGAGTTCGTACCTGAACGATGGCTGGATGACAAGAACCGGCCTGCAAAGCATGCTGGTGATCGGAGGGATTGTGTCAAGGTGTTCTCAGCAGGACCGAGAGACTGTATCGGCAAGAAGTGAGTTTTATCCTCTTTCTGATTTCTTTCCTCATCCCAGTTTCCAGAATTAAGCCACTGACTAATTTTTGCGCATAGCCTTGCGTACCCCGAGATGAGGCTTATTATTGCCAGTCTGCTGTACAATTTTGACCTTGAACTGGCTGACCCTAATTTTGACTGGTTGGACCAAAAGAGCTACGGCATTTGGGACAAGCACCCTCTTTGGGTCAAGTTAGTGCCTCGCAAACGTGAACAGGCCAAATAAGACTCCTTCTGTGAAAGGTCAAAAAGCGTGATTTGAAATGATCTTGCATTCATAATTAAGCTTGTGTACAATATTAAATTAAATTTTCTATGCTTTCTTGTTCTAGAAACACAATGTGATGTAAGCAGGCAAACCGCATACCATATAATTCTGGCGCATGTGTTGAACTACGTTGTATTTAACATTATCCCGAATTGGAAGGCGAAGCTAACTGATTATCGAAATAGAAATATGTCATCGTTGTACGAAAAAGGTTGACTGGATTTCTCTACAATTGACCAATGAAGCTCATTCCCAAAACCTTGGCCCGAAATAGGCACTGAAACCCACGCCCTTACCAGAAGAGGAAATTGATGCCATGGTATGAAGGCTAGTCTCTCGCTCATTGCCGCTGTTTAGGTTGAAAGAATCACGAGTCAGCATTAACGCTCATACGATCATTAAGCGCGTTGATGAAAGATAAGGGATCGCACTCACAAGGCGTCTCGAACACCAGCTCCAAAGTCGTACTCCCCCGACATCATCCCCTGCGTCTGGAGGATTCGCTTGTAGCGCTCAACGACCCCAGCCTCGTCACGGGAATACTGCCAAATGGGCACGTACATCTTGACTTGCGGCACCGCCTTGCCCGGCACCATCTCAAAGGCGAAGCAGAGCCCGCAGTACTTGCTGTCCGGATCATTGAGTGGCTTTTCCAAGCCGTCCATCTCGGCCGGGGCAACGTCTTCCATGTCCATGAGTAAAGGCCAGACCTGTATGAGGAAGTCGGCCGAGGAAGCAGGGAGGCGGCCGCCTAGTGTGAAGACGTCACGGGCTGAGGCGAGCGAGTTGGCGTGCGTGTGTACATAGACCTTGAAGCGAGGCTTCATGGAGAGAGCCAGGCAGTCGACGGCGAGGAAGTAGATGTTCATTTTGTCCTCGCCTTGCGAGATAAGATACGTTTTGAGTAGTTCCCACGCGGTCAGCATTGCCTCGTCGCTCCCGGCGAGACGTGTCGCGACGGACTCGGTGATGTTCACCAGCGATCGGCCTGTTACGAGAACTTTCAGTTGCGGGAAAAGGTACGCTTTCATGCTGATGGTCGCGTTTTCCTCGGACTCGAGGTCGAACCCAGCATAGCAAATTTGCCGCGGCAGCGCATCGTCGAACTTCATCTTTGCCAAGCCCGCCTCCTCTTCCGCAGTAAGGAAAACAGAATCAAGGAAGCCATCCAGCCAAGTACGGTCCGCATTGCAAGCAGACGCCAGACCCTCCAGCTTCTGCCGCAGTTCCTTCTGCCCTAATGGATCATCGCCCGCAGGCCCAGGGCTGAGTTTCACCAGCGGCTGCACTGTAAACCGCACCTTGGCCTCTTTGTGAGATGAAAAGGCGACACTTGCTTCAAAAGGGGACTGATTGTGAGTAAGAATGTAGTTCACTCTGTCCGGCGCAGCAGGCGGCTGCTTCAGACGTGGGACCACGGATTCGCGCACAAAGGTGAGATGGGCGTCTTTGATGTGGGCTGGGTAGGAGCCCGTCCAGCGCAGGAGTGAGGAAAGGGCGTTGTGGAGGGTAGGAAGCCATGAGGAGACGAGAGGACCTCCTTTCGAAGTGGAAGTATAATTGAAGGAGGATGCGTCAACTTCGTTGTAAATGTTTCGCTTGGCGGTGCCGTTAGCTTGAGAGGCCATCTTTGAGTGATGATCTTCCATCTTGAGGCTATTGAGGTCCAAAACTGCCATTCTAAGTCTGTATCTGGCGTTTATCCGTAATCACGTTGACTTTTACCGCTTTGCTGGTTATTTCTGACCTTTGAGTACCTCGAGTCAACCAAGCTCCTACGTTGGAGTGTACTTGAGTCACCGTTATCTTAGGCCTGTATGTGTCGAATGCTTAAGTTGACAATGGGTTGCCTCTTTAGGAATCTCAATCGGTCGTTGCAGTTGAGATAAACCAACGCTGTATTGAGGCTAAGTCATTTTCGGAAAGCGAGTGCGAAAGCGTACGGTTTGCAAGTACGGCCAAACTCATTACTGATCAAGGTGTGTTTGAGTTCCTGAGGTTAAGGGGCAAGGGGCCTGGTCTAGACATGGAGTTCACAGCTAGGTGATGGGGATCTCGAGATGACGTGATTCTTGACAGGGCTGGACTTGAAGTTTAAACTACATGTTTCATGCGGAACACGCGGAAGGTAAGATTCTTGTTCGGGTGGCCGGGCCATCTCGACGAACTGGTGGGATGTTCACTTATAGTTTAGGATGTATCTGGCTTGTAAGGTTGACGGGCGTGACGGGTCCACGGGCCCTAACCTTGATGCATGTGAGAACGCTTTTCTCATGCAAGGCGGGGATCTCCCCGTATAGTAGGCCGCTTACGGATATGCCTAAAATAATCGGCCCCGACGGCGTCGGAGTCCGTTCTCCAGAACGCCTTAGCCGCCAGCGCAGACTGAAAGAGAAAATCTGCCCCGCGCGGCTCTATCAACAACTTGACGTGAAGCATAGGAGCTTTGAAGCAATATGCTGTCTTCATCTACCTTTGAGATGCAGAGACACAATAATCTTGACAAGGCCAAGGCGTAATGGGCACGAGTAGAAAACAGCGATTTTTGCTTCGTGAGAACGCCGTGTGAAAAACGGTGAGTCGAATAGACTTTGCGTTCGGACAATCGGACCATATGGCAACCACCGCCGCCATCTCTACTCTCGTATGGTAACCGAGCTCGTACGATAGCCGACCGGGCACGAATACGAAGCTTTACAGACTGACTCAAAGTACCTCAGCATATCCATTACAGCTCTCTATAATATTCAAAGCCCAGAGCTCCCTGCAATGAACTAACTGATGCCTGGGACTATTACTCATATCCCTATCAAAAAACGTCATTCACATTGATCATAAATACAAGCAGTGCCGAGTCCGAATCCGCAGGGCTTCCTATTATCACCATCCCTGAGCTATATCCCCTCAACTTACAAAGTCAATTGCAAGTAATACCCCGGCTAGGAGAGGGAATCAGGTGAAAAGAGCAAACAGAGAAAGTGATACGCAATACCCATACGTCAACAAATACAACGGAGAGAAAGACATTCGTCATCCTTAGTCAACATGGCTATTGGTATTGCAGAACAAAATGAACAAATCACATATCTCCGCTCGGTTCTAGCCGTATTAACCAGCTCAACCAATGACCTCATTGCCGAGCTCTCTTCCTCTTCGGCTTGCAAGTCTACAGTCAGCAACGGAGCCAAGACGAACCATGATGTTCGAATCCCGAAAACCCCCAAGGCCGAGGAGGCCCGTAAACGCGTCATCGCTGCCACAGCATCGCTCGAGGCGGCTATCCTGACGCCCCAATGGCGTCTCGGCCACTTGGCCCACAGCTACTACGTGTCTCGTGCGCTTCACATGGTCGTTGAGTGGGAGATACCCCAGCTCCTGGCCGCCAACGGACCTACGACGCTTGATGCTCTCGCTTCCAAGACTGGCATCGCCGATGCGAGCAAGCTGGGCTTCGTTATGCGGACTCTCTGCACCCACCACATCTTTGCCGAGACCTCCCATGATGTCTTTGCCAACGACGAAGCGTCCACAGCCCTCGCTACAGATGAACGACTGGCCAACTCTGTCCGCTTCGCCTCCTTTCTCTTTCCAACGGCCGATGTGCTGCCTAGCCTGCTCAAGGACCCCGTCCTATGCGCCAGCTACGCGCCTCGAGACTCAGCTTTTGCCAAGAGTATCGGTAAGGGCATGGGCCAATTTGAGTATCTCAACGCGCACCCCGAGTGGCGCGACTGCTTCAACTTTTGGCTCGCTTCGCTGGGCGAGTACCTCCACGGCTTGACCGATGTGCGCGGTTACCCCTGGGAAACCACCCTCCGGAACGGCGCCGTGGTTGTCGACGTTGGCGGCGGACTCGGCAGCTCGATCCAGTCCTTGCGTACAAATTTCCCTCATCGCAAGAACGACTTTGTCGGCATCGTCCAGGACCAGCCCGGCATGATCACGCACGCCACGGCACACTGGAATAAGATGGATCCGCAGGCGTTAACCTCGGGCGCGGTCAAGCTCACTCCTCATGACTTCTTCAACGAGAACCCCGTTAAGGGCGCCGACGTGTACTGGTTTCGGTCCGTCATCGTGGACTGGCAGGACAAGGACCTGACCACCATGTTCGCTCACATCAGAAACGCCATGGCGCCTGGGAAGTCGCGTCTGCTTATTGGCGAGTACATACCACACCCGACTTGCGGCGACGCTCTGCTTCCCGATGCGCCTGCCCCATTGTTGAAGAATTACGGAGCGTTCCAAGCAATGGGGCTCATCGGAGGATTTGTTTTGACTGCTAGTCCCAACGGTCGACAGAGGACATTCCAAGACTTGGATCGTGTTGTCAAGGCGGCTGGATTGAAGATTGTCAGGGTGTGGATCTGCCGGGGTTTGGGAAATGTCATTGAGTGTCGACTGAAGGAGGATCGCGTGACAGACACAGATGTTAGCCATTAGCACTATAAGTAAGTAAGTACCAGAGTTGTTGAATCAATCTCTCGTTTGAAGGATCACTTGAAAGAGATCTCCAACGACGAATTCTCCATAGGTACTTTATGTATTAATGTACTTGACATGAAAAACCTAACACCTCCCCACAGTATTAATCTCGATGCGGCGTGCGGCCATCTTTTCTAATTCAGCTCCCCATTCTACAAGATCCAACCCTTCGTGTTTCGTGAAATTCTACCTTATTCCATGTTTTAGGACAATGGTCCAGTAAGTATTGAACGGGACGGAATGTACAGTCTATAGGTTGTATCATTCATATCGCGCTCGAACCCAAATGTGAGTATTCAAGTAATTATCTCAAGAATTAAGATGTGTCTTTCAAGATTACTGTACAATTTAACTTATTACTTCTACCAAGCATATCAACCTCCTCCCATTAAATCCAATATTGAGGAGTCACAGGCGACCTTTGCATGGTGAAATCACGAATATCAACGTCCCGGTTCCCCTCATCGCCCTCACTCAAGTATCCCAACTCTGCCTCCTTGCCAATTATTTGAGCATCATCCGCATTCTCCAAGTCATCATCCCAATATTTCTTTCCACCACCCCCAAGCCCTTGTAAGCCGCCGTGGATAGACGATCGAAGTGACCCAAGAACCTTGCCGGCCCGCGTGGCCTGTGAGGACCTTTCTGCTTGCTTTTCAGACTCCTCCATGGGAAACTTAGGCGGAGGGTCTATATTGCTGCCATCTTGGGGTGATGGCAATGCTGATGGCGATGCGTTGTCCTTATCTTTTTTGGGCTTGGGCACTCGGATGTAGTACAATCCGAAAGCAGCAATAGCGTTGAAGAAGACGTACGCAAACAAGATGCCCAAGTCGCGCCAGCGGTTGCTGAACTCAACATGCACCCCTGCCAAGACCTGGTTCGTATTGTTCGTCGTGCAATACTTGCAGTTGTCCAAGACAGTCGTATCAGCGAGGTATCCGCCCGCCTGGGAAATAAAGGGCTGCAAGTACTCGCCGCACGTCTGTCCAAGAGGTGGATTCACGAGCAGAAACTCGTTATCAGCGCATTGGATCTTGGCGTTCGCGAGCCCTGTGCCCAGCAATCCCTCGACGAGATAGGTGAAGGGGTTGACGCGGTACACCCACACCCAGAACTTAGGTGGTGTCCCGAGGATGCCGTTGAAGATGAACATCATGACAAACAAGAGATTGCCGATGCCTGCAGCCTGATCGGCGAGGTCAAAGGCTGCCCCAATCATGTACGCAAAAGTGCTGGCCTGCAGGAAAAAGACGAGCATGAACAAGACCGCTAGCCCGCCACGAGCTGCGGTATCATTTGTCTCTGCTGCGTTGCGTTGTAGCCCGACCAGATAGTACCACGCCACAAACGCTGGCGGGGACATGAGCGCGTTATAGGTCATCTCAACAACCATTTGCGCGCCCATGAAAGCCCCCCACGAGTATGTGCGCGAGGGCTGCTCACGTCCCTCGTAAAGTGTGCGCTGGGACACGAACATGGGGACGATCTGTTGTGTAAGATTGAGGTGCGTTGTGAGGAACATGAATATGGCGATGGTTTGGATAGTTATGCCCGTCTGCGTGTTGGGTAGGTTGAGCAGGGAGAGGCCGATGAAGAGGGCCGAGCCAAAGGTCAAGAGCAACTTTGCATAGACGTAACTCGGGGTACGCCAGTAGTGCTTGGCTAAACGCCTGGTTACCTCGGAGAATTGGGTGATTACAGGAGCGGCGAAGGGGGGGTCGTTCTGCGGCGGCTGTTGTTGTGCTGTGTCTTGGTGTTTTGTTTCTTTCAGTTTTGCCAGATGTGCCTTGACCTCTTCATATTCGGTGCTTTGTCGCCATACTTCGGGCCAGTCCACGTTGTTCTTCCCACTTCCGCTGGCTTTGACTTGTTCGAGGATGTACTCAGCCGGATTCTTCCCCCTTTTGGGTCGTGGCCCGCCATTGCGGACGAAGTAGTCGACCAGAACATTGGCGTTGGGCCCGATCTGGCCAAAGTAGACAGTCCTTCCGCCTCGAGCAAGAAGAAGGAGTCTGTCGAACCTCTCAAAAAGCTGATTTCATGTTAGCAGTGTGCTGAATAACAGAGAAAGCGGTACTCCGGTGACACAAAAGACAACTTACAGTCGCTGACGGCTGGTGTATCGTACACAAGATAGCTTGTCCGTTTTGTCTCAACGTCTCAAGCAAAGTGCAAATCGACAAGCTCGTCTGAGAATCCAACCCCGAGGTAGGCTCATCCAAGAACAAAAGAAGTGCAGGACGAGCAGCCAGCTCAACACCGATAGTAAGCTTCTTGCGCTGCTCAACATTGAGACCCTCTCCGGGGACACCGACGACGGCATCCGCATACTCTTCCATACTCAGGATCTCAATGACCTTGTCGACGTATGCAATCTTTTGCTTGTGTGAAAACCGGGCCGGCTGTCGGAGGACGGCGCTGAAAGTGAGGGCCTCCCGCACCGTCGACGTGAGGAGGTGCTGATCCTGCTGCTTGACGTAGCCCGTTTTCTGTTGAAAGGAGGCGTCGCGCGGGGCACCATCGACAAGCATCTCGCCTGTCACCACACCAACAGACAGACGCGAGGCGAGGGCATCGAGGAGGGTAGTCTTGCCGGCACCAGAAACGCCCATGAGTGCAGTGAGCGTTCCCGGCTTGCACCATCCGTCCACACCATCTAGGATGCGTTTCGTCTCCTTCTTCTTAAGCTTGACTTCGTAACAGACATTGCTCCAGTGGAAGATCGCCGTCTGGCGGTCAATGGTCAAGTCACCGTTGTTGTCAGCGTCATGGCCGCTTGGGGCTTCTGTCTTTCCCTTGGTGACTTGGTCTTCCACGTCTCTAGTCGCTTCTCCAGTCCGCCTTGTCGGGACTTTGCCCCTAGGGAAAACAAGCATTTCTCCTTTGCTCTTAGTGCTGCTCACCATCTCTGTGGCGATGAGATGCAGCACAAGATAGGCGACTGCAAATGCAAAGACAACGCCGACGTTCCGCCATCGATGGCTGTCCATATACCGAAACGCACCGGTGATGTATTTGCTTCCGTTGATAAATGTCTCGCCAGGCACGCCTTCCTGCGCAGCACACACGCGCGTCCGCGCCATCATCGTCATGCTCGCAGCGTCCATTTCGTAGTTCGGACCAAATGGAACGAAAGTCTTGCAAGGAAACCTGCGCCCGTTGCCTAGTTCGTTGATCATAAGAGCCTCGAACCCGTAAGACACGGGGCTGAGTGTGGCGATCCACTTGGCGTACGGCTTGATATACATGGGCGGAACAGCAAAACCCGTGTAGAGCGCCAGCGTGAGCAACACGATGGTCGAAGGCGCCTGGGCTGCCGTGTGGCTCTTTGTGACGGAAGCAACGAGCCGGAAGAGTAAGCTTACGGCCAAGGTCATAGCGAACTGGACCAGCACGAAGAACACAAAGGACCCGGCTTCGTTGCGCATATTGCACATCCAGTAAAATATTGTGTTGACCGTGATCGCGTTGAGCAGCTTATATGGCAGACTCATAACCAAGTCGGCAACGGCCTCTGCTGAAGCGTGATATAAGGCGTACCGGACATGCTTCTCGACGATGGCGCGCTTGGCGTATAAAGCTGGCACCTCGAGTACGCATCCAAAGGCATTAACCAGCGCGGCAGTGAATAGGAACGTGCTGCGCGACTTGATGGACTCGGCCGTATCGGGCAGACGAAAGAAGACACTGGCAACGATGAGAGTCTGGAAGAGGTTGAGGACGAGCATCATCACCGTCATCTGCGGCGAGGCCTTGAGCAGCGCGAGTGCGCGCCATAGACATAAGAGAACCTGGCGTGGGTACGAGAGGGTGTAGGGAGATTTCCATCGTTGCATCCAAGACTGATCACTTTTCTTGCTCTCCAGAAATTCGGCAAAGTGTGTGCGTGAATTGCGCGGGCCACTACTGCTCAAAGAAAAGGATGCGTCGTAGGAGTCTAGTTCCTCGCCGAGCTTGTGGCGGAGACTACTCGTCCGCCACGCCTCGGCGAACTCATCCGGGGTACGCGGGACCTTTTGCTCGTAGCCGGGCTTGACGATGCCCTCGCGCTCGGCTGGGCTAGTCATGGATGTCAGGAAGTCCGGTGTTGTCTGAATCTTGGGACAAACAAAGCCCAGCCGCTGGAAGTAGCGTTTGGCTTCCGTCGTCTTGCCAAAGTAAATCTGTCGTCCTTCGTAGAGAACCAGTACTTTGTCGAATAGCTCGTAGGCCTCCTCGGGTGCTTGGTAAATGGCTACCATGCTGACCATGCCCATGATATCGCTCTGGACGCGCAGATTCTTGCAAAGATCGACGGTCGCCGCGCTGTCCAGCCCGCGTGTGCTGTTGTCCCAGCACTGGATCGGCGCGAAACTCAGCGCCGCCTCGGCGATGCTCACACGCTTGCGCTCGCCGCCCGAGACGCCACGTACTGTGTCGCCATCAGTCCCTCCAACAGGGGTCTGCATCGTGTGCTGGATCCCAAGCATGGCCATAGTCACGTCACGAACCCACGTCGCATACTCGTCTGCCGAGAGCCCTGCAGGTCGAGTCCTAGGCGCTCTCGCCCTCGCGGCGAAGAAGAGCGTGTCAGCTACCGAGAGCACCGGGAAGTGAACGTCCTCTTCGGCGGTGTAGATGGCGTCGCCTTTGAAGTAGCGCTTCATCTCATCGGCACTCACGCCGCGGTAGTTGAGGTGAGAATCCTCGGCCACCTGCGTGCCTTGCGTGTCTCCTGCCATCGTACGCAAAAAGGTCGAGCAGCCACTACCTGGCGGGCCCAGCACGCAAAGCATCTCTCCATCGTTGACAACTCCCTCGAGGTCATGTAGGATGCGCACCTGTTGACGTTTTATACGCAATAAGCCACGCATAGCCCCTGCGGCCTTGAGCCACCACGCGTTGCCCACCGTTGTTTGGAAGGCCGTGTCGGACCCGTAGCCCGAGACGTTCAGCTTGCGATAGGCGACGCCGGCCTTGCGCACTTCGCAGCTGTCGGAGCGGAGACGGTAGAATGCTTTGGCCCATTCTCGGGCGTCAAAGTTGTTGCCAAAGGGGTCGAGGGGTCCATCCTGCTTTGGAGCCTTTGAGACGTCTAGCACAGAGTCGCTCTGGGTGGAAGATAATGAGGCTTCGCCATTTTGTTGTTGTTTCTCGAGAAACGACTTTGCTAGATCTACCAGATCTGTAATGGCCTTGTATTCATCCGCAGATATGTGCACGGATCTAGGTCGATTATCACTGGGAGGTGGAGCGCCAGGAAAACTCAGAAGAGAGGCGCGATGGCGAGACGGACGCGAAGGTTGTAAAGCCGGCTGCTCGCTCTCTGTCTTTTCGTCGGCGGAGAGTGCGGCAGGCATGGCTGTAGTTGTCCGAGATGCAGGTGTGCTGAGCTGCAAAATCCGTTCTAACGAAACGGTATTGTTGAAGCTCACTTGATTTAACCTCAACTCTCTAGAAGTTTCAATCGCGACCGAAGTGAAGCTTCAAGTGAATTGCGATGCCGACCTTGGATCAATTGAATTGCTTTTGATGAATTATATTACTGAACATACAGTGATCATGACCACATGGTTTTGGAGACACATGTGCCAGGCGCTAAATGCCTGCAAATATCTATCATTAAGTATTTCCAGTAGTGTTCTGGACCATGCCGAAGTGACTGCTTAGACAGGATTGTTTAGATGGGATGGATCGCGGAGGTCTACAATGGCTGCAGACAGCACGTAGGGACGGCAATTCACGCCTAAGCCCGCCCCCTGTTATCCAGCATCGGGAACGACTCCGACTGGGACGAAAGTTTAAACAACCTAAAACGGAAAAGAAAAGTACTTGGCTATAGTTTGATTATCTGAGTATAAGGTTAGGAAATGTGTAAGCAGCTTGGAGGAAATGGATGCGAGCTTGGCGAGTACGGAGTATTCGAATAAAACTTCCCGCCCGTCCATTGGAACGGATGGCCCGGCACATAAAGCAAGGAAACAGTGTGAGCCGCATAGAGCTTTGACGCTCGCTGTCAACGCGCAACAAACCTAATTTGACCGTGATCTTGAGTTTAAACGTCGTTGAAAAGGGGGGTTACGGATACGGGAGCGAAAGGCTGTCTTGACATCATGGGAATCCGTTGACTTGGAATTGATTGAACTCTTTGAGCACTGACGAATTCAACGGCAACCGGCCTCCTTTACGCTCCCGAGAAACGCAAAACCGGCCGCCAAGGTTCATGATGACAGCCTAAACTCTTTTATGCGCCAGACTCATAACGGTAATAGTGACCGATATCTTCCCTGAACTGTTGAATGCCGGGTGAAAGTCTCCAGTGAGATCCATAAGACTGATCATCACGGAAGAGATACTTGGTGTCGGCCGTGCCGTGCGATCAAGAAAGTGAATTAAGGTAATGACATATGGCCCATGCAACTCTGGCCAATGGCACTGGGGAGATTTCTCGCAAGAATCCTGGCTGGATCACGGGATATAACGTTAGTAAGAATGGTCTATGCCACAATATCTACCCTTCGGTTTAGTAGAGTTCGGACTTTAATCTTGGTGGAAACACGAGCAGACAAGAAAGCATAGGACTATCAGCTACAGCCAAGGTAGCCCATGATAGATCAGACGCTCAGCCATTTAAAGATGTATTCGGATATTCTACATTACATCGTCTTTGCAGTGCTCACACAGTTGAAATTACATCCACTTAACATTCATCCGTAGCTTAGGTAGGTAGGTGATTATTGCCAACCAACCTTGATATCACAAGCAACCTTACATAATTCTATCTTGACACGAAGACACACATTCAGAAAATGGAAAAGACTTGCGTCGTCATCGCAGGTGCAGGCCCGGTAGGGTTATTCACGGCCTATCTCCTCGCCAGCCAAAAGATTGAGTGCATTATTCTAGAGAAACGCCACAACATATCAGAACACCCGAAAGCCCACACCATCAACCCGTCGACGCTCGAAATCTTCCACCAAGCTGGTTTGGATGTGGCCTACATCCGGCGACAGGCAGCCAACCCTACAGATGCCGGACAGGTTCGGCTCGTTTACGGACTAGCAGATGCCGAGATTGGCTGCTTCCCGTACGAACGTCAAGACGACGAGATGCGCAACTTGACGGCTGAACCCTTGGTGAACTGGCCGCAGCCGCAGCTGGAGCGACTGCTTGAGAAGGCCGTACTAGAGACGGGCCTCGCTCAAATCAGGAGAGGGTGGCAGGTCGACTCCGTCGACATCACCGACACAGAAGAAGCTGGCTGTGTCGTCTCGTGCAGCACTTCCACTGGACGAGGAAATGACGCCAGCACCATGAGACAAATCATTCAGGCCGACTTCACCATCGGGGCCGACGGCGTAAACTCGACCGTGCGAGAAAAGACAGCCGGCATCGACTTCCAATCCATGGGACCAGGCCACGTCTACCAGTCTATCGTGTGCAAAGGCAGTCTTCGCGCGGCGCTTCCGCCGGGTCGCGAGGCCATGCTCTACTTTTGCTTCCACCCAGAGCACCCCAGCGAGTTCATCGCACACAACCTCGACGACTCCTTTGTCCACGTCACGCCCGTCATGGGCCCCGCTTCAGAGGCCCCGCCAATCGAGGCCTGTCTCCCAGGTATGCAGTACTCAGAGGTCCTCCGTACCACCTGGGAGACGGCACCGCGCGTGGCATCATCATACAGCGACGCCAAGCACCGTGTCTTTCTCGTGGGGGATGCCGCGCACAGCTTGCCGCCTCAAGGTGGTCTAGGCCTCAACACGGGTATCGCGGACGCACACAACCTGGTATGGAAGCTGTCTTCCATCGTCAATGGAAAAGGTACCCCAAACCTTCTCGCCAGTTTCACGCGCGAGCGCAGACCCGTCGCACTCGCGAATCTCGAGTACTCCAAGGCCAGCGAGGCGGCATTCTACTCCGTCAGTACCTCTCTTGTTGGCCTCGCTATTCAGTTCCAAGAAGCAAAGGCACAAGAAGCTCCGGAATCGGATCTCACCATGGACGCATTCCTTCAACGGCGCGCCGTTTCCGCTGCGGCAGGGGGTGCTGTCAAGGAGGCGAGTAGACACTTTGACTCGCTTGCGCTCCAGCTCGGATTCATCTACGACGATCCAGCTTCTACAAAAGCTTTGCTTGATGACCCGACGGTCTATGTGCCGCAGGCATGTCCTGGGGCTAGGCTGCCGCATGGAAACACGAGTAATGGGCTGTCCCTCTTGGATCTCGTGCCCTATGATCGATTTACCGTGCTGCACCATGCAAATCCCGCATTCGCGTCTTGCGACTGGGCTTTAGATGTGGCAAGCCTCGGCTTACCTGAGAGTTGGTACGGTGTCGTACTGGATATCAAGGCGGGTAAAGGGATTGTTGTGAGGCCGGATCACCGTGTACTGGTGCATGTAGATGGTCCGGGGCAAGCGGACGACGCGGTTAAAGACTACCTGGATCATGGCAAAGTGTAAGAAAGCCAATGGTATACTCGCGAAAACTTCAATATCAAACTCAACATGATCCTCAACCCTGTGACTCAATGATAATGTGCATGGTCGTATAGGGCTCACAGGCTGTATGGCACGACCTTGATCAGTATTCCCAGGATCTTACTCAAGCATCATACGCACATGAAAGTCTCCCTCTCTCGCTAATCAGACCCCTTTTACTGAGGCAGCTTGTGACAAACGCCCAAGACCAAGACAAACCGCAATCGCTGCCAACATTCCCCACTGCGGAAGCATAGGTCGCCCATCTACAAAAGCCCTTACAGTCCCGTACGTGACCACAGCCCCGTTGAAGAGCAGCGCAGGTTCCCTCGTCTCGGGGACTATAACAGCGGCGCCGACTGCGATGCGTAAAGCTGCGCCGAAGTATCCGGCTTGTCCGGGGGTGAGGCGCCGGCGAAAGATTTGTGACATCCACTCGCTTTTACCGGCGTAGTAGTCTGCGGCGCGGCGGTTGGGAAACGGGATGCCGACGAATGGGAGGGCGGAGAGAATGCAGAGCCCGCCAAAGGTGTAGGATGAGAGATTTGACAGCGTAGAGATGTCTGCCATTGTATCCGGTCTCGATATATCGATTGAGGGGTGCGGGTTGACGAGGGTAGTTGCTTCGCGGGGAAGAACCTGGTTATATGGAGATTTGATGATGAAGCTGGTCATGAAGATGGTAGCTTGTAGCAGTGGCATTCCAAGTTTGGCTGATTTACCCCTTACGTCAATACATCAGAGTCAGCACTAGTCCTCATTGGATCATCAAATATTCACATGTCTTCCAAGGCTAGCAGAAAGACTGGAGTCCCTTGTCGCAACCTAGAGACATCGCGTGGGTGGTAGACACGTTCAATATGCGCGCCATCATCTCGTCATTTATGCTATGATAGGAATGTTACTAGATCTACTTGATCTGCTCTCCCTTGACCAATGGTCCGGCACTTCCAAACCATCGGAGCGCGCCGAGGATCCCCTTCGCAACTCTGGCGAAGGAATTGCTTGCATGTAATAATCGGGCTGCTGCGCGTAGCTCGAGTTTGCCCCGCGAGAGTCGTGGCCTCGCTGGTAATCTTTTAATAGCGCGTAAAAGAATGCTGTGTTTGCGACGATACAGGCGCAAAGTATCTCTATGGATGCCCACTGGACAAGACACGTTAACGGGCGATTCTCAGAAGCAACAGACGCAGATGGGAAACCTTACCATGGACCGAGATCTTTGGGATACTGCCTGGTTCAGTATCATGGGTAGTCGCAGGATGGTGATGACGACAACAACACCAGCGATGCTGAATAAGAGTACGAGCTGCACCTTACTACAGGGTTGTTAGTCCTCAGAGAATCAAGCATTGAGGGATCCTAGGGGTCTGATGGAGACGAACACTTTGCTGTCGAGTTTAACGTGGCGAAAGATGGGAAAGGGAAAGATGATGAGCGCGATATCGGTAACAATGTTGAAGACGGCCATTGTGACGAGATTTCCGAGGGCTCGGTGGCAGGTATTCGCGCCCGTAGGATCAGGGGACCACATGCTATGAGTGACTGTGTTAGATGGAGTTGAGGCCTCGAGTGCATTACGTTTGTCGGATTGACAAAGAAAGGCAAAAACTTACAAGTAAAGTGGCCGACATTCCGCAAGAGTGGGTATCAAGATAACAAAAAACGTAATAACAATAAACCACCAAAGAGCATTCGTGACAGCTTTGCCCCATCCAAAGATGTCCACAAAGCGAGAGTAAAAGTTGAGTAGGCAAAGCTTCAACGACCACAAGCTATGCGAAAGGTGGCACGGTCAGCAGTGAACGAATGTTAGACACACCGCCTTGAATTGCAGTCCGAAACTCTCATAACAGTGAGGGTGAGGCGGAATAGATCCAGGTAAGTAGGTGTAAGCGACATACAATAATGCATAGAATATGCGAGCCGGTATAAGCAGCTTGTGTGAGATGACGTAATACTCTGCCAATTTCTCAACACTGAGATTCCGCGCCGCGGCCGCCTCTTCGGTGGCGGCATCGTACGTGTGCGTTGGGTTGAGGTAGAAGGAGAGCGAGATGCAAGTCGTGCGGCCGATGAGCGGGAGGAGCGCAAAGGCCATGTAGGCGTCGTCGACGTGCCACATCCGGTGGCACGTATCGTGAACTTTGCATCGTAGGAGGATGCGGTAGCCGCAGCGGACGATGATGAGGAGGGCGCAGATGCTGGCCGTGACGATGTCAAAGGTCACATCTGCCGACATATCTGTGTTGGTGATGTTTTGTCGTCGGGTTCGGGTTCCAGTGTGAAGTTGATGGCTGGCTGGCTGCTGGGGCGCGGCGGCAACGAGGGCCGTTATGCTGGTGCTGACATTGTTGTGTTCTTGTACGTTTTGTCGAAACGCCTCTTTTTCCTTTCTCGAGCGAGTTCCCTGTTGTTCTGGCCCTTTTTGCTTTTGGTAGGTTGCTATATCCGTATCCCAATGTGATCTTGATGAGCTCTCTCTTTGACGAGATTCGAATTGCGCAGTTGCCCCTTGGCTGAAAGCGGCCGATGGTCCCAAGGTCTCGGGATCCCCAGTGCGCTGAATAAGGGACGGATTCTGATGGTGGTTGCTCTTTTTTTTTTTTTTTTTTTTTTTTTTTGGGAAAACGGTTTGACGTCCAAAGTGTGGGGAAAAGGGAAACGCAGATGGGACGAACTTGACAAGGCCAGAAAGGGCACAGCCAGATGTTTAAAGAGGAGGACGGGGGCGGAGCAAGAAACAACCACAAAAAGGCCGTCGCTGAAAGAAGAGCCGCCCAGGAATGGGTTGGAAAAGGGAGGACGGAGTGGGATTCGCAAAAGTAGGGACGTGGATTCTGAGTCAGCTACTACCACCCACCCCAGCCCAATGCCAAGCCGTCTTTATTCTAGCTTCTGTTGGATTACCGCGCGGGGTTCGAGTTGATTCGATCTGGGAAAGGCGCGAGAGGGACGCAAGGGAGGCACAGGAGGAGGCCGGAGGAAGGGTACGCTAGATTCGTCTATAGTTTGGACTAGAGAGGCACAGAGGAGGCGGAAGAAGGAGGAGGAGGAAGAGCAAAAGGGGCAAAATGGAGGAAAGAAAGCCGTAGGAGAAGGGGGTGGGAGAGTTGGGTATTTTGAGGAAAGACAAATGGTTGCCGAGTTTGCATGCAGCTAACATAACTTTAGCAAAAAAGGTCATTGATGATGATCCGAGACTGCGGTCCATGAGGTGTGATTCGCGCGATGGCCCGGGGGAACGGTAAAGGGTCGCCAGCATTGTTTTTGCAAGGGGGACATGGAACGAACGAACGACGAGACAGGCCACTCGTCGTGACGGTCAACACCAAGGGGCCCTGTCACGCTTGTCTGTCTGTCTATCGGTAACTCTTCGTAGTTAGTACGAAGAAGTTGGTGCGCGCCATTGTGACGACGAGCTGCTCAGCTCCTGGGATACTGGCACACTGGCACGCTTTCTGCACCGCTCTGCTGCCCTTTCACTCGGGTTGTCGGGGCCCTAAGCTGCTAAACAGGTCGATGGTTCCAATTTCCCCGCATGGAGATGCATGGGGAGACCCATGTAGCCAAGCGCCGTTGGTGATTCGCTTTCGTAACGGGGAACCGGATGTCGAAATGAAGACTTTTCTCGCCCTCTCTCGAGTCTTAGGTGGCGGACAGGACTGGCACCGAGAGAACAAATGTCTCGCCTCTGCGTGGAACTTCTGGGGTCCTGTGAGAGACTCTTCGATTTGCCGATTCAGGGGACATTGATCTGTGAACCTTCACACGAACTGTGATAAAAATACGTCTGCCCAACGGCGCACAACGGCGTCCCTGCCTCTCTCTTTCTATCGGCGAGGGGAAGGATACTAAGCTCGTAATTAACCGCCATTCCTCCCCTCGGCGTCTCTTTAAGTTCAGTCTAAAGCCCGACTTCGGGAGGTTGGCATTGGTGCTTGGCCGCTTGTCGAACCCGTCTCGAACCCAACCATGGGCTCAGGTCTTCATCGAGTCCTAGCGTTTCGCTCTCGATGCAGCCCGCACCATCGGATGGCAGAATCGGTCCAGAACTTGGCAGAGAATGTCCACTGTCTAGAGAGCTGCCAACCTGGCCGACCAAATCCCAGTCAGCTCGCTGCCCAGCCCATCGATGGCAGGGTTCTTGACAGATTGGATTTCCGTCGGGGCACTTGGGTCGAAGCTCCGTCCGTCTTGAGAGCTCCGCACGCCGCCAGTCCCCGGCGATGGGGCGATGGGAGCTGGGTGCGCACGAGCATTCATTCACTGATCAGTCACCAGAGTCCTCTAAAAGACCATTTCGCCTAAACCGTGTTGGGAACACGAATGGGCCAAAATCGATGTAATCAGGGCTGTGGTAGCATCGCTTCCACCTACTGTGGGTTGCCGCAAACCTGCAGTGCTTCTGTCAGACAGCCAGAACCTTATTAGACTGATGTCTCATGCCCTCGTGACTAGACGGACGGACGGGCGAGACGGGATGATCTGCGTCTTGAAAAATTACGTGCAGTGAGCCCCGTGAGCGCAGTGTCAGCCTGACAGCAGGCTGCCCAATGCTGTCCATGCCGGTTGTGATCTTCCCTGCAGGCTCTGTCTCTCGTTTTTGGACTCTTGACTAGAGCCTAAATTGGTTGATCATGTCTGAGTTCATCCTTTGGCCCCTTTGAAAAAGTCCCTGGCCCCCGCGTAGGCTCGTTCAATGATCGACACTCGTTGCCTGCCGTGCAGCGGCGCAGGTGCTTGCTCTTACTCGACGTGTCTGCCCTTTCGGCCCTGTTCGTCTGCACGGCTCTTCTCGGAATCGCGTCTTCGTTGCAACCGTCGATAAAATCGCACAAGCTTTTTCATGCAATACGGATACACATATCTCCATTGGAGGTGATCTAATGTCGGATCGAAGCGAAGTAGGTATTGTTCTCAGCCACATTCTTCGGCAATCACAGCGCCCGAAGGTCGTTCTTTGTGCCCCCAGATCTCGTGCCTGCGCCTCCGAACCCCGGCTACACCTGGTGGATAGCCAAGTGTCGCGCCCACCGGGAATTGTCTGCCCGTTGGTGTCTGATTTAGCTTGGTTGAACACGCAAAATCCCCGCAAAAGGAAGTTGCGAATCCTAATATGTAAGTAATTGAAGCCAGAAGACTTGACGAGAAAGCGATACTTTCCATAGGATCTAGCTCCGAAGAATGGACCAAGGGTTTCACTTTAAGAATAGGCCAAACTTTGGAGATGGGGAGAAACCTTGGTGAGAAAGCGGGACGCCGTAGTCGCATGTATCATAAACCTTACTTGCGAACGGGAGTTTAATACGGATAGCGACTAGCAAACAGGTCCCCTGGAAGAAAATTGAAGTTTTAGGCGCAAGGTTTTACACTACTCACGACATATCCTTACTTGCCTTTGAAGCCTCAAACTTTGCCGTACGGGTGCCATGCGGCAGCTGTACGGGATGCCAGGGGATAGCTTCTGCTTTTGGTCTTGCTTATGTTCCAAGAACCCTTTTGGTCACGGCATCGCCAAATCGCCGCCTCGGGGATTGGGAACCTCCCGTTGTGCACGTTCAATTCCGTGTCTGTGTGCCGTCGCGTTAGTCCCTAAGTATTGTTCACTAAGGTAGCACCCGCGCAACTGCCACTGGATAGAATTCTGGCCAAGCATTGTAGTCGGCGATGTGTCAAATACGTCCTCTATCCGTATGGGAGTGGGTTTCAAATGCTCGGTCCGGCGATCTTCTAAGCGTATCCGTAAAAACAATCAAAATCCGTACCATTTCTATTGCAAGGCAAAATAGATTCTCGGACCGATGACGCGATAAGTGTCACTTGCCAGTCGCGACAGCTCTAGCGGCTTGTTGTTCACGCTACAAACTTGCTTTTTGCAGATGCATGTTCGATACGACCCAGGGAGAACACAAACCATGAGCGTTGCCGAGCAACGGGTATTCAAACATGCTTGCTTCGACGTTTTCGAAAATATCCCATTGAGGCTCTTCCTGCACCTGCTTTGCGAGAGTGCTTTACAAGTCGATTTGGTCGATATTGCGGCAACGTGATCCTGTATCGGTGGAGCTCTACTGCATTTCCACGCGAGTTTCCATATGCTCCATGCGTTGTAATTCTCGATCAGCGATGGAAACACCGAAAACAGTAGGGCTAGAAATCCAGTTCGATCACTAACTGAAGTAGTCGTGACGGTCACTTGAGGGGAATATATGAGTAATTCTATGGGGAGCCGCTTCAAAGTTCGGAATTATTTTCCTTCACGTACCTATTTACATGCAGTAACTGGCATTAATAAATTGATTCATCATCGCCCCCATGATCGTATGATGCATTCGTTATTTCTATGACATGTATTCCGACAGAGACTGCAGTTTCCAGAAATGGCTCTTTCCATCACGCCAGGTGTACGATGCACGGGGCGAGGTATACACTCGGATGCCGGCAAGGAACTGTTTGACCTTTGAGATTTATCTTCAACTGGCTCAGAAAGTCATTTGAATATCATCATCGTCGGGTTAATCTCTGTTGGAACACCAGACTCAGATGACGATCCACCCATGTTACCTATGTACTGTCATGATCTTCATTGTAGGCCTGCTTGGGCGAGGCTGACGGCGTTGAGAAAAATATCTCAGCCTAGCATTCGCCATACCGTCCGAGATAAGGAACTTTATCCTACATCACGATTTCATTACGCATATCTTCAGATTGACAGATATCTCGGACGTGGGTTGTTATCTCAATCGCTTTATCTCAGCAAAGGTCAATAACTGCCGAACAGTAATGAAAAGCAAATCAATGGCAAGGGGCATCGCTTGCAAAACCATCGGCCGGATTGATCCGCCTTACACCAGCGACTTTTATGCTGGAATGACGGAAGCGGGCCGCTCCTCCGGGCGATAGGCCCCGGAATAAACCGGAGAAACCCGGAACGGACCGGGTGGAGAACGGCCGAGGATGGAGCATAGGAATTGTGGGGACGGAACGGGGAGGGGGCAAGGAGACGGCCTATCTTGAGCTCGAGCTCACTAATCTTTCCCGATAGTTGATTTCCCCTCTTCAAGTACGGGAATAACGGGACAAGTCACATGATTTCACCTAACTTGCGGAGCAGAGGATGATAAGGTAGTTTACAGTTGGGACCTGGGCGGCCCGCGGGCCTCCTCTCTTATCGAGGACAGGCTCATGCCGACTCGCAAGGATGAATCGCTGTGCGGCGGCCAACGCGGTGCTCTCCCG